TTTCATGTGCTGGGCCATTATATTATAATGTAATTTTATGTGATTTTGGTTACTCGAATGAGATTGTCAGAATAAACATTTTTGAAAATATTAACATATACGAGCGCTGTTCCATAAATACGCGGAAAAGTGCTGCCATATTTTTAATATTCATGGGAAATTGACGTTCTCTTTACATTTTGTAAATAAACATATATTAAACATGTACACAAAATTTCAATAAAATCGGTTAAAAATTAATAGTACAATTTCAAGTATTTCTAAGGTAATTGCAGTGAAATCGGCCCAACGTCGTAACGACGTCACGCTCATCGCATTTATGAGAGTCACCCAAAACACGCACCTAGTCCTTCTTGAAATACTCTCCATGAAAGGAAACACACTTTTTACAACGGTTGATCCATGACATGAAACTATTAAAGTAGGAGCCATTATTTATCTCTGAAATTGCACCTTGCACCGCGTAGGACAACTCGTCCATATCATCAGAGTGTTCTCCCCGCAGGACGTTCTTCAGTGTCGGGAACAGAAAGAAATCGCATGGTGCGAGGTCAGGGATGTAGGCCGGGTGCTCGAGGACTTCGAAGCCGAGTTTCCTGATTGTATACTGTGTTTCGGCCGCACGATGAGACGGTGAGTTGTCGTGATGAAATATCGTGTCGGCGATTTTCGTGGCCCGCTTCTTTCTCATCGCCCTCATAAAATCGCGTCTCAGAATCTGAAAGCATAAAGAAATACAATTATAAGTAAATTGTCGTTATAATTTATTTTCATAATTACTTACACAAATATAAATAATTATTAGGTAATGTATTGACATAATAATGAATATCTTATTATAGATTAAATGAATTTATTCACCTTAGAATAATACTTCGCCGTCACAGTCTGACCCAGGGGTACCGCGTGGCTCAGTATCACACCGTCAACGTCAAAGAAGACGATGAACATCTATTTCCTTGCAGATGGGCCGACTTTAAACTTCTTAGGTGAAGGTGAGCCTGGAGTATTCCACATAGAAGACTGTGATTTCGTTGCAGGTACGTATAGGCTGATCCATGTCTTATCAACAGTCACTATCCGTCGCAAGAAACGTTCACCTTCCCTATGAAAGCGTCTGAGAAATTGATTGCAACACTGCACCCTTTCCACTTTTTGTTCGTCCGTCAACATTTTAGGAATCTACCTGGCACACAGGCGTCTCATATTGAGTTCATCGTGAATAACGCGATGCACTGTGTCAATGCTATAATCCGACCTTTCGTGTATTTCGCGAATTTCTATCCGACGATCATTGTCAAGCAGCTCCTCTATCACAGCGACGTGATTTAACGTTACGTTGGGACGTCCACTGCGTTTGTCGTCATGGATGCTTTGTTGGCCGCCTAGAAATCGGGCATACCACTTGTACATTGCTGTTTTCTTCACCATATGCTTTTTGTAATCTTAACATTGTTTCTTTCTTTGAAAACCCGTTCAAAACACAAAATTTTATTGACGATCGTTGTTCCGATGCCATTTCAACGCATACGCACTAAACAATATGGCCGCTTAACGCCTAAATGACGTCACACACTAACATGACGTCATGTGCGTAACGCCAACATATTGCGCGTAAATTATGCAAAGTTTGATGAAAATCGCACTGTAAACGTTAAAATGCGACGTCATTATTAACCAGTGACTATTTGTAAAAATGAACAAAAGTGGGCCGGTAATCGCTACATGTGGTTACCATAACGACCGTTTGTTAACATATGATTCATGCCAGAACGGCAATATTTGCTGTATATTTTCAAAATATGTTTGTCTCTATTACTGTATAAGTTTTATTTAGCTTACTTGGAAAATAAAGAAATAGCGACACATTTCCGCGTATTTATTGAACAGCCCTCGTACAAGTACGCCCGATGGTACTTCGCTGAATTCCGTGAACAATCTAAACTCCTCGAAGCGGTTACTTTCCTTTATCAGTAAGGTCTACGCCGAAGAATTAAGGGGAGATAACTGCGTGGAGATTGTGAACAATCGTGTTTTTGCGGTTTCGTGTAAATTAGGTCGTAAAAAGTGCAAGTGTCATTTTGTTTTAGGCTAAATATATGTCAATTATTTCTATGTGTATTTTACTTTATTTTACAAATGTTTATTAAGTATTTGTCGTGAAAAAGTGAGAATTGAGAGTTCAGCAGTATCGCAATACATACTTTTTGCAAGACGAAGACAGAGGTTTTCAACACGCGTGTAATTTTCCACGAATAAGGTGTGATTTTACTTATCTCAGTTCATCAATTGCACTGTACGAGACCTACTTTCGCTTGGTTTGTTTACATGAATGACAAAGGATGTTTTTTATCAGTATAATCACATGCATATTAAAATGCATTTTACTGTCTGATACATGGTTAGTGTGTGGCTGGTAAATGTATTTCATGCAGGCCTTTTTCAGTTGCTGTTAGTTGTAAGTCTGTAAATTTATTTTTGGACTGCCGTCTTTTCCATATTATATAAGCCTATGACTACATTTCAAATCATGTTCAGTATTTAGATATTCTGAGATGGATTGATTTGCAACATACTGAATTTCTCATGGTATATATACAAATTTGATATTAAATTACAAAATTGTACATGGATTGAAATTGTGTTTAATTTACATGGAATTTGATTTACACTTAATAATACATGGAATCTGAATTGCACTGAATTTCACATTGATATAAAACACACTGAATCTCACATGGAATTTGAATGGCACTGAATTCTTTATAGCATTTATATTGTGCTGATTTTCTCATGGCATTTGAATAGCCGATAAACAGTTTACGAACTAGCAGATGACAGGCTATGTTTCAAATAAAGTTAACCAGTTACAAATCTTTCAGTATAAATTGGTGTGACAGGCGGTAGTTCTACATGTTCTAAGTACCTTGGGTGTCAAAAGGGGGAGAATAGTCTGACAACCTACGCTTAACAATTCTTAGGCTTACCGCATATCTTTGGGTATTAAGAAAATGTAGTTTGGCTATAATGCAAAAGATGATCGATCTAACGCAAAAAACGTATTTTTATTAAACTTTAAGATGTATGTATGCTTGCTCTTTCTTTGAAAGCTAAAGACTTATAAAGATACAGTAATTATAAATAACACGTTACCAAAGCAAAATAAAGTTTGTAGTCATTTTAGAACATTTATGTCCTGGTTTTTTGTTGTTGTTTTATAAATGTCAACCTTATTTTAAGCTTAGAAAATCTTATTTATACACAGAAAAATTTGCTTTTGAGTTTATGTATAAAGAAATAATTCAAACAAAAATAGCATACATTAATTCAGATATCATATAGTGTTGATGCTTTTGTAAGTAGGCATTTTTAACACAATTATAAGTAAACATGTTGGTGAATGTTGCTATACCGAACCTACGTTTTAAATCTTCCCACCTTTTTTTAAAATTAGAATCATGTAGTTCTAGTTCAACTGATTAAAACTAAAATACTTCACAAATGGTATTAACAAAACACTCACACTGCCGAAACATTAAAATTGACAGTTTGTCATAATACATTATCTTCCTTTACGTCATATTTAAGAAACCTCCTTTGAAGTGGCGACAAGATTAACTTCCCTTTCCTATATTAAAATCTCTTTAAAAGACACACCGATAAGCAGGTGAAACATGTTTATGATTTTTATGAATAATTAAATTGTAAGCATTTGCATGTGAAGTAGCTTCCTCATATTTTTAACAATCTTAATCCGGATCAGAAAACGTTTTTGGTTATATTTTATATTTAATTATTGTGAAGGGTCAGAGAAAAGTACCAGTAACGAAATAAGTACGTTAAACTTTTATCAAGAGCAAAACATTTAATTCGTCATTCATTTTTATTATTGTAATAATAAAACTTACTATTTTTTCTTCATTTGACAAGTTCACTCCGTAAAAGTATTTTGGCCGTGTACTCTTGAGGAAGAAAACTAAGGTTGCACAGCATATTTCGATTGGAACTTTATTCATACACACCGCTATGAAGACTTTAGTCAAATCAAGACAGGACATTATTGTTCTTGGTAAAAGGTAGTCTATGTTGAAGAATGGCTCCAACTTTAGTACAATACTCTCTAGTGATCTGTATGATAAACAAAATTTTAAAAAGCAAACAACATGCAAGAGCGACATATCATTTTTAAGTTTGCAGTAAAAATCATTTTGTTTTGTAGTTTAAGCAAAATATCTATTGTTACTTTTTTTTTAAAAAAGTAGTTAGTTAAAACATTATTTCTTTGTGTTTAACATCGCCTTTTAAAAACATCAGTGAACATATATCTAATAATATGTTAAAGGTCTTAGAAGATAACAAATTTGACATGACATTTTCCATTGCAGGTACATGCTACATAAAACCTTAAAAATGTTGTGAACTGCTAAATATATTAAAATTTAATGCATTCATGGTGTATGCTTATCTCATAAAACTAACAGAAAGAATTTGATTCATCTAAGTATTTTCTTACTATTAACGGCTATTTGTGTGCATTGAAATGAAAAAGGTTAACAGAAATTAAAACCAAACAAATAGGTTTTATATCGAGGGCAAAACAATACAATTCTCTGTCTAGTCTCTGATCCAAAAATTGGACAGTATGTAGGTAGGACGTAATTTTTCATATGATTCCTAAATCTTTCGTTTTTTTTTCCGTTTGATAAGTTTAATAATGCTGATGCTTCTGCTAGGATATCAAACGGGCATTATTTTATTGTTGTGCTTAAACCGAAACTTATATCATTAATGATGTCAACACCTTCTACTCAAATATCTTCATTTGGCGTTGTTAATTTGCCCTTATGATTTATAGGAAACAGTCGGCAATAAATTAGAATATTAATATCAGTAAATGTCTGTTTTATATACAAGTATGTTTAAAGCCAAAATTAATATTAAACATCGGAATATAAAAATACAGATGGTTGTGAGACATGAAATAGAACTATTTTTTTTGCCTTACATAGACCATTCTTTCACATTTTTGAAAATATCTACAGCATCCTTTCCAATTTCAGATATTCCCCACCAAGTAGGAGCTTTGTCGTGGCTTGAAGCATCTTCATTTCTTTCGAATGGTCTACATTTATCAGAAAGAAAATGCAAAAGGGGCATAGCAAATATCCATGATGGATCGTTGGAGGTCATTGCGACCGTTCGAAGAAAATCAACCAGAGCGTCTTTCAAAAGTTTCCTAAGTAAGAAAATGAAAAAGTCTGTTAATGTTTATAAATTATGAAATTATCTAAACACAATTTTATGACCTTACCAATAACTTTTGACAAGTTTCGACGAACTTGTTTGTTGGAATGTGATGCAAGCGCACAGATTTCGGCATAATCGTAATTTTTAATTTTGTTTAAACTGGTGTAAGGGGGCGTTAATGGTAGCTTACCACTACTGCCCATGACTGATTCATACAACCGGACTCTGGAATATTTAGAATTTCAGATGTTGCGTTTTTTCTTTTTGTTTGCGTTCTTTAGGAATTCCGTTACTTTTCTATTTACGTCATTGCGAAATAGACGAACAGTTTTCTCGCAAAATTTAATATAAAAGTATCAAATGCATTTTCACCGCCTTACTTACATTTGTGAGAATACAACATTAAATCCTGCAAATAATTGTATTACTGACCGTCGATGTGGAATATGTCTTGAAATAAAATTCAGTTCTCTGCACTCATTCGTTTCAGGCTCTATGTTTATAATAAGTGTTTTGCAAAAGACTCGGGCAGTATTGACATCAATGCCGGAGCAGTTCAAACTTTTCAATATTGCTAAAAGCGAGAATTGCAACCCCATCCTTGCCTGTCTATCATTTTGTGTGTTTTCAGCTGCATTGATAGCTTCTTCATAACACGCAAACATTGGGTAAAACAGATATTTTCCAAGCTAAAAATACAGGTAAAATAATTCTGCTTTACAGTTGCTTCAATTAGTACGTTGTTTAAATACATATATTAATGAATTACCGTTTACCCTTGAAAGTAAATCACTTTAAAATTTCAGAAATTAATCTGATGATAATCCGTTAATAGCTTTTTATATTTCAATTAACAACAAAATATTTATTTAAGCGTAACGGTGACTTACTGGTAAAGGTATCTATTTTACAAGGATCGTGGGTTGGTCTGAGCCGTCTTTTGGTCACGACCATGTTTCCCCATTTGACACCAGTAAAAGTAAGCTCGGGAGACAGACTCGAAATTTGTGAATATAAGTCTCAAGAATTTGAAACTAAATATTAATTTTTTGAAACTAAATATCAATTTGTTAACGAAATAATTAGGTTACCAAGATTATGATGTTCTGTTAACTTCAACATTTACCAATATGAATAAGAGATTAAAATTAATAATTTACATCAGAAATGTAAATGCACAATGTAGTGAAATTATTTTGCTTTGTATGAAATAACAAACCTAAATTGATTCAAATGAAATAAAGAAAATTGTTAAGTATTTAATTACCACGTTGAAACATTCATTTTCTGTGCTGTAACACTCAGCATCGATGCAGTATGTGCTATGAATGCCACGAATAAGTAATTCCATCTTTTCTGTTGTTTCAAATATGGCATGCAGGGAACTTTTTTTATCGTACAAAACACCCGTCATTTCACCACCAAACACCTCTGCAGATAGTTCAGCATCGTCCTGAAATCTATTTTTTCTTGACCATTTGTCTTTAATCCAGTTAAAGACACCCTCTTCAGGCTCTCTATTCACTACGCCATCGTACTGGTGCAAGACGTCTGAAAAATCGGAAACTGCTATTTCATTCTTAACTGTGTGGCATTCTGTTTACTGAGATTGATATAATCAATTAATTGTATAAAGCTAAAATTAAGGCTATAAGTTGTTTAGTTTTTTTTTACTATGGATACCAAATTCAGACTGTTTGAAATAAGACATTTAACAACCAAATAGACATAAATATAACATATGGTTGGCGCTGTTAAGCATTATGAGTAAAACATATAGCATAGTTCAGATTCCTGAGCTAGATTGACACCCCACGACAAAGGCGTCAGAGAATCACTGTTTCGTCTGAAGTGTTATCCGTAAGCATCATTTCGTTAAGTACCTAATGCGGGTTTTAACAGGTGTCCGTCTAGGATGCTGTCTCCAGCACTTTAATTAAATACATTTGTGTAAATCACTGATTTCTAAAATTATTAAATATTGTTGTATCCTCATCTACATCGGTTGCTAATTAAACACATCTGAAGAATCGATTTTCTTTAAAAACACATGATCATAATAAACTCGATGCATATTTATCTTTATCTAATGTTTTTAATGTTAGTTAGAACAATATTATACATGTATAAAAATAAGAGCATAATTCAGGAAGCATTAAGAAATCTTTGATGACACACATGATTCGCAAAACATGATCATTAGTTCGTTCCAAATTCTTAATGTATTGAAGGCTAAATTCTGCCTAAGTTGGTACAAGTTGGTACTAGATATGTACCTTTAAGTATCTCTCTTGCATATGCTATATGAGGCTTGGAAGTTTGCCATTATTGTTGTTTTCACTGCTCTCGAGGAATTCTCGTTTTTCAAGACTTCAAAAAATTAAAGTCAAATTGAATTTTACTACGTAGGTAAAAAAAGTTGTTTAATTTCATCAAACAATTTCAACAAATGAAATAACGAACCAGGAAGACAAGACCCGACTGTTAAAGAATGTGGTATGTTTAAACGTCTGTTGATCTTTGGTCCAGAATTCCCTTTGATATAATAGTGGTCCCATAAATTTTGCCTGGTCTTTCCTTTGCTATTTGTTGTGTTCCTTACCACATAATACTTGTAATTGAGTTGTTTGTTTCCTCTAACAATTCGGGATTTTGGTACACATAAAGAGTACTCCATCTCTATGTGGTGATTTTTACACGTCCTAAAACAGGATAAAATTTCACTTACAAGGGTGAACAAGAAGTGGTGTCTACACTACAATATATGTTTAAAATTATTATATCTATTGTGCAAGATACATACAGTTTATTATATTAATATAAAATTATATGGGGATTTTTTTTTATTTTAACTTACCTAACATATTTCATTTCATGATTGTAATTGTTCCATCCACCAAAGCTATCATCTCCGATTCTTACAACGACTTTATCTACGCTTGGTTCCAGTTTAAAATCCGGAGATATAAGGGCATGAAAGTGAACCATTATTGATTGTCCTAATTCAGGTTCCCATCTAAATAAAGTAAGTCATCAATGAATAAATATTTAGCACACCAGTTAATGTATGATAAATTACAAACTTTGATCTGCATTATCGTGAAGTTCTGCTCATAAATGATTATAATTATATTGTTTAGTTTTTGAGAATGTCAGCGTTTTCGTATGTATTTTAATTTATCACATTTATACAAATCTTAGCTTATTTCAATGCCAGCCATGTCTGCTGCTGTAGCCAAACGAATACAAAGCCTTGGTATAAGTACTTTGTTTTATATAAATTACTAAAAACTTTGTTAGTACTGATTATACAATACATTATTTAAGTTCAAAAGTATTTCATAAGCAAACAATCTTAAGGCAGTCGCGTGCATTCTTTCCGCTACTTCGGAAGAAACGTGACTATCATTAGAAATTTATGAGTTGGTTCGAAATAAGATCACTTTCTCTCAGACACTACAAAAGATAATGTTATTTCAGGAAGTTATTTGATTTGTTTTAATCGTTCAATTTCAATTAAACTCTACAACAATGTTATATTAAGACTTATTAAAATGTATGTATTAAAAGTATTTGTTATAAAAATATGTGTCCTACTGACAAAGAAATTCTTGAAAGCTAAGAGGTTAGTCTACGCTACAGACATTACTATAAATGTATTTATTTTAATTTACCTGTTATTTTCAGCGTGCGACTGAAAACAATATAAAATTACATAAATGGAATATTATACAAATATTATTTGTGTTTGACCCGCAAACGTAAATATAATTTAGACTTTGTTATATGACACTAGTCGGGTTTGTTCAGAATATTCGTGTATCATTTTTTCCGATAACAAAAATATGAGCAAAGTTTAATAATAGACATAAGTTTTGCTTCGCTGTTTACAACATTAAAATTTGTACTTAAGATATTTAATCTAGAAATTGAAACAATTCTTCATCCATTCGAAAATATAAATAATGCTGAAGGTATTAAGGTAAGAGAAACCATATTACCTTCGGCTGCGATTGTCTGGATTGCATGTTCTTTGAAGGGCCTGTACGTTTAGAATTATTTGTGTTGTTGACATCAAACCCAGTATCAACGTCGTACTCAGTATCGCCTTTATTGTTCGTTGTTGTTCTCTCCTTACCTTTGCTGACATTTCCTATTTCTGTTGTGTCTGGGCAAACATACTGGCTATCTTTCTTTCCGTCATATGTTGGGCGTCCTAATGTTTGTTCTACTTCCTTGACACTTGGTTCTTTAGGATTCATTTCACGGACACTTGAATTTTCTTTTTCAGACTCGAACAAGCTTCTTATAACTGCTGTGTTTCCGGTACGAATTTCATCGTATTTTTGTTTTGTCTCAATTTTTGTTTCTGATCCAAAACCCTTTCCGTGTGTGTGCTTTGAGCTGCTATAATCTGGACTTCTAGAATCAATATTTGGTTGGTTTCCCTCGATTTTGTCTTTTCCTAGCTGTTGCTGAGGTACGTCTGTCATATCTTTTTCTGTAATACAAAAGAAACACGATTACTCTGTCATTGCAGTTTGAATCTTTAAGTGTAAAATTACTTTCTTTAAATTTAAACATCACCTTAAAGATTTTGATATATCAAATAAAGAGCCATCACGTTAAATGAGTAAATCATATGCACTTGTAAAGGATAAAAATATTTGAATATCCTTTTGTAATACCTGGTCGAATTTTTCACAGCACTTGACAGTTTGGTGCAAATTGAGTTTTTCTTTGTTTTGTTAAGGACATTGAAACAATTTTAACTATTTCTCACGTTGTTAGCTAAAACGCATAGAATTAAGTTTTGACAAACCAAGTTTCTCTAAGATGTTTCGTAGTGGCTCCAAATGAATGCCTGCTGAAAGGAACACCTGATGACCAGTCTCCTTTTGGAGGACCTCACAAATTGTATCAAGTCGCGTCTTTATCATTGGATCTTCGAAGTATTCAATTAAATCTTTCAGCACACCGAGTGATGAGCAAACAAACGTGTACATGACTGGACTTCTTGTAACGAAATCTATCTTTACATCTAGTTGTTCAATATCTTCCAAAAATGTACCAACAGACTCTCTCACATTTGTCGGAATAACAACAGACGACTCAGCATTTCCTATGTACTCGATTGAAGCAGATAATAGGAAGGTTTCAACACGATCTACAGCTTGTCCATCGCCTCCACAAACATTGACTGTTGCTGTCATTTCTAAATGGAAATTTACAGTAAAAAAATGGTAAAAATATGAAAACTGTATCACACAAGATGGTTGCCAAAACTAATTATTCGAAGAGATAAATGATTTAAAGACAATTGTGGCATTATGAAGACTTTAGTTACATAGAAAGTGATGTAATTGATAACATATCTAAAGGAAAATAAATTCCGAAAAGTTACGGAACAGAGAGAAAGAATTATAAAACAAAGCTACTATTTTCAATGTCCATGCTCTTTCCTCGATCCTCCATTTCAGTTAAAGTGTCTGTTAGCTGCTTCAGTAAACTCGAAGCGTCATGAGTCTCTGCTCCTTCTGGAATGAAATCAATAAACATTAGCAGTGTGGATGATAACAGTTCAAAATTTACAGCAATGACATGTATTTCTGCAACGTTGAAAAAGTAACAGTAAATGGATACGTAATATGTTTTCGCGTAGCATTTATCATGAAAACATATGCCAAGTTGTATGCGAACGTAAATGTTACGTAAATACCGGTCAGTCGCAGCTATCAAATCAAAACTTGCATTCTTATAATACTTTCCAGAATGTAAACATGTGAATTCGCAAACGTTTTTGAGTTAAGTTCATTAAAAGAGAGATACATTTTCTTGGACACCACTTATTATTATTTCTGTTATATTTGTATAACGTGACGCTTTATAAAAACAAAACAAACGACTTCAATTATTTGACATTAATTGGAAAAACATCTTAAATGTTAATTGCAAAATTGGTATTTTTTAGACAAATCTATGCTAAAAAAGATTTTTGTATGATGTTTGCCATTCTTCTATATGTTGTCCAAATAATGCAAAGCAATATTTACAATGTTTTATACCGAAGGAATGTTTATATACATGTATTTAAGAAAGGTTAACTTTACACCGTATGTATTTTTCCATAAAATCACTTTCAGCTCCGATCTGCTTGTTAGAAAATAACAATTAGTAGCACAGAGATTAATTTGATTCACGTCAGTTCAGTGTCAATTGAATGCCGCATACAAAAAAAAAATGTTTGTTGATTCTGAATACAATTTTGGTAACAATATTCTGGTGGAAGAAGATATATTTGCGCTAGTCTATGTGTATAAACAGACACAAAGTAGTAATATATCCATATCTTACCAACAGTTCCATCGTTTAAAGACTTGTTGAGATGTTCAAGACTTTTCTGTATACAACAGGAAAAATCATCTCTGCTTTCGACATGTTTGAGTTCTTCGATTGCGTTGCTGAAATCAAATCCGTCGCCGGAAAGTTTTGCAATCAGATCAATTAAATCATTCTTGTCCTTATCAGGCATTTTGTTACTCAATTTTTCAAACATCATTGTCAATTCCTTACAATGTTTAGAAAATACCTGTTCCTCCATTGAAGCATCCGCAGAATGTTTGCAAACAACATTACACATTTCCATTATTTTCCGCACAGCTATCTTTTCCGGTCCAGATAACAAAGAACTTAAAAATGTTAATGCAATATATGACAACATTGATATATCCCATTTTGAAATATCTGACGAGTGAGGTGCCGGTGGATACAAACACACTTGTTGCAACTTCGAGATTCCAGCTGATTTACAAATGTGTTGTTTATTTTCTCGAAGAAAATCATCAAGGCTAACCTGTCGTTTTTCTAAGCCTTTGATAATTGTCTTTCTTAGGATACTTGTGCCTCCTTTGATAAGTAGGAGAATAAACCTGACATAGAGTTCGTTTTCAAGTTTTAACATATTTCGGTCTGTTCATACCCTGAAAATAAAATTATTTCTGTAAAAATAATTAAAAACAGTTAAAGATAAAATAATTTATTTATAACCAGATTGAATAACAAATGTTTACATATGATGACTGAAGATAAATCTTGCTCTTATCACAAAACTATATTGATCAAATTAGATTATATAGTCATATTTAGATAAAAGATATCAGGTAGTTAGGTTAAAACGTTATCAGTTTGGGGGTTTTCATGTATATAGCCGCTCCATTGCATTTGCATATCAAACATTGGTCGTATGTATTTGTTTGTATATATGAACATTGGCCGTACATGTTTATATAAGTTTATATCGAATTATAAATTTCAATTCCATATCCTTTAGTATACTTAAAAGAAAATAAAACCAATATGCACAACAACACATGCTGACCAACAGTCCTGTTTTTTGTCAAAAACATTTTCAAACGGGTTTTCCTAAGTTAATTACTTCACAAACCCCAAGGTGTACAATTATACGTGCTGACCAACATTTCTGTAAGGTTTAATGACTCTAGGTCAAATGCGTTTTGGGCTTCGCACAACACAAATTGATAATTGTATATTTTAATTTAATCAAGGGCAATAACTCTACTACAAATAATGAATAAATCATCCAGCAAACGCCAAGGTGCCTCTTTTACATGCTGATAAACATTTCTGTAAAGTGTCATGAATCCAGGTCAAATACTTCTTTGGCGAAACACAAGTTGAAAATGGCAAATTTGTACTTAGTCTCGGGGAATAAAACACTTCAAATACTAAACAAGCAAAGTCGTTGAATTTATATCCCCCGCCGAGTACTGGTTATTATTAACACAACAACTGAAGACATAAGGCTTTATTTATATATTAATCATGGCCTAAACAGTAATATTCTTTGAACTTGATAAATATTCAGGGCAATAACAGAGCCATAACTTTGTGTTAAATAGTAAAATCTGGAAATGCCAATGAGATGTATGAATACTACATAACTAATCAAGGGCCATAAATCTGAGTTATAAGTATCTGACCGGAACAAGGCGACTATATGCACATCTCTTCTTAGTATCCCATAAAGTTTCATTGAATTCCAGCCAGTAGTAGCAGAGAAATAGCGAGGAAACAAATATTTTTCAAAATGGATACTGCATAAATAATCAAGGGCCATAACTCTGAGTTAAGTGTCTGACCGGAACAAGCCAACTATATGCGCATCTCCTCTTGGTATTGAAGGTTCCCATAAAGTTTCATTGAATTCCAGCCAGTAGTTGCAGAGAAGTAGCGCGGAAACGATTTTTACTCCATATGCATACTGCATAACTAATCAAGGACCATAACTCTGAGTTAAAGTGTCTGACCGGAACAAGCCGACGATATGCGCACCTCCTCTTGGTATTGAAGGTTCCCATAAAGTTTCGTTGAATTCCAGCCAGTAGCTGCAGAGAAGTAGTGCGGAAACGATTTTTACTCTATATGCATACTACATAACTAATCAAGGGCCATAACTCTGAGTTATAAGTATCTGACCGGAACAAGCCGACGATATGCGCATCTCCTCTTAATATTGATGATTCCCATAAAGTTTCGTTGAATTCCAGCCAGTAGTTGCAGAGAACTACTCCGGAAACGATTTTTACTCTATATGCATACTACATAACTAATCAAGGGCCATAACTCTGAGTTAAAGGGTCGGACCGGAACAAGCCGACGATATGCGCATCTCCTCTTGATATTGATGATTCCCATAAAGTTTCGTTGAATTCCAGCCAGTAGTTGCAGAGAACTACTCCGGAAACGAAATTCGGACGGACGGATGGACGGACGGACGAAAGGACGGACGGACGGACAACGCCAAAACTATATCCCCCTCCCGATTCCATCGGCGGGGGATAATAAATTCCGGAGCTAACCTCAGGTGCACAATTTTACATGCTAATCATCATTCCTAAAAAGTTTGTTAACTCTACCAGAAGCACCTTTATAGCTGCATGCGACGAAACATGAGAACGCACTGACAGGGCGAACCTAAATGCCAACACTCTCTAGAGCATAACAAATGTATATTTAAAATGTTTATAATACAATCTTAATTCATAAAGTTAGTTAAGTATAAACTTGAATCAGTCACTGTTTTATTGTGTACTTGATACTATAATAAGCATACCTAATGACAACAAGAAATTGAAATATCATTAGTGCCGTCTATTATGCAATCTATTTATTAAATAAGTGACTAAAACTCTTTTATTTAAAGAAACCTCTAATTTAGTATTGCCGTAATAAATATTCATTTAAAAATATTCATATTTATATGAAATACCGAAGCCTACTGCGGCCTTTTTGACTTATTTATTTTCTAACAAGCTTCTTAAAGAAGGCTATCGCTATCATAAATTGCGTTAATATTTTACTAAGTTTTACTATCGTAATTCAGATTAAGTTTTAAAATTTAATTATAATTTAAAAACTCTTTTACGACTAGGTATTAGCAAACCTGATTTCTATGGAGATGTGGTTTACAAACTTCGTAGGATCATTGGTCATAGTAATTTTTCTGCTGACTTCACAAAAATTATCAAACGGTTTATGAAAAGAGGTTATGACCCAAATATTTTAAAACAGAGAAAAACAGAATCCCTAAAGAAAGTTCAATACGGCAAAATTGATTAAATCGGTTTGATTGAGCCTGTTCATGGACGGTACTGGAAAGTGCAAGTTACTGTCCACGCCCCCTAGGACCGGCTTAACCAGAATTCAACATTTAAACACAAAGTGGTCGAATTTTGAATTTAGAAACATCCGCAGATGTGTTGATACGACGGTTATAATGTAACCTTCAATGTGACACAGTAGTGTCATTCCATGAAAAGCGGCGTATGCCCCCAAGTAAAAGAATGCGTGTGCCCTAAAGGCATACCGCATGCTTAGTGTTCAACCCTTTTACAGTTTGACGCTACGCTTTCCTCTTTTAATTACATCTGACGGACTAAGTGGGAGACTCGATAAGCCCTTTGTGACTGAATTGTCTTAATGTTCGTCCTCTGTCTTGCTACGTCGGGCCCTTGTAGGTAATTTTCTTACTGCTCTGCCTTCCTTTAAGGCATCGAGTACTTTGGTAGTGGTCATTGGGCTGTACCTTGTTATACATATTTACCGTCGTTTATGTGTTTTATTTATTTCGTCTTATGTAACCATGTCAATTGTTACAATTTCACTTGGCGGGGGTTAATTTTATTTACACTTTCGTTTCATTTAGGAACATATTGGGGCTAAGAGTGAGGTTTGGCGCGCCTAAAACAGCTTTTAACTCCTTTGTGGTTTTACTACCACTGACCGTTCCAAGGCGGTACCCCTCTGTGTTCCTTCAAGTGTTTTTCATGTCTGTCTGATTACTCGTTTTGAATGTTTACATGTTCTGTGATGTCTTTCTTGTTGGATTGTCGTTGACGGTAGGTATTTTATCCCCCTCTGCCATGTTTTAACCCCACCCCTTTCATCCTTACAGCCCTTATCCATTTAATTCCCATTTATTCTCGTTTTGGTTTTGCTTATTTCACACATTACGTGTCCCTCTCCTATCGCCGCCATTGTATCCACTCCCGCTTTTGGTTTGCTGCCTTCTGGGTGCCCTGTTTGGGTGTGTCTGGGGCTGCGTCTTGTGAACGTTGCATTCGCCTTGTTGATCTTTATTCTTGTTTTCTTTTTATCTTAGGACTTAAAACTTAAAAGTTAGTATTATGGACGGCGACAAATCAGCCGGCGTATGGTTGCTTTTCTCAGTATAAATTGCTATAATGTGTATTTGCTAACGGTTTTTTTATTGATTAATTAATATTTACCACATCCCGTAATTATACGAGCATTACTCTACATAAGGCTATAACTACTTGCTTTTTTGTATTATTACTAATTATCGAGTACCTATTACATTGTCTTTACCGTGACATTGATTTAAGACATTCCAAGACAGACAAAATCATAAATCATTTCCTACCGTTACGACATGTTTTACTATCTTATAAAAAAAGATGTAAAATAACAATGAGATTTACCTGAATAAGCCGATTATGTTGCTTTCTGTCGAAGTTATTGACATTTGTAGCAAATGAAGCAGTCAAGATTATATTTAAATTCCTAGTGTGTACATTGTAAAGGTTATATATTAATATCAAATATACTATCTATGTGTACATTTATGACACATGATTGTGGCCTATCAGATAATAATGTTCAAAGTACATAATCATGTTGAAAAATTGAACGATTGCAGTTAAATATTGAAATGTGTGTGTGCGTGTGTGTGTGTGTGTGTGTGTGTGTGTGTGTGTGCGTGCGTGTGTGTGCGTGTGTGTTCGTGTGTGCGTGCGTGTGTGCGTACTTGCGTGTGCGTGTGTGCGTGTACGTGTGCGCGCGCGTGTGAAATGGTCCATTAGAGCTAACCTGAGGACAAAAGTTTAATAACTGGTACTTACATTCCAAACCAACAGTTCAGCAATCTTGGAAGAAGTCAACAAGATGATGTTTCTTGCCAAATAGCTAAGCTGTTACCCTTGTGGTTTCAGAGGACGGGGGTATTTGAAGATTTTACTATAAAAATAAAGGGAAAAGCCACGACACTGCAGTCTCTCCCCCCCCCCTCCCCCCTTCAAAAAAGCATTTAAGTCGGAGAAATATCTATGTTTATCAATCTGACTTAAGATCAGATCTACTTAAGTTATTGTTTACCTGTAAATCTCATTCAATTGCAACTTTTCGATCCTTTCCGTAAGTCTTCGGATAAAAACCTCGAACACAATAGTATGAATACACAGAACGGATACGGTATTTCGGTCTAACCTACGCTAAGAAACTATACATATAAACAAATAGTAATTTAATGCCGGGAGTTGTTGACAAGTTTATTTTCAATATATCAAGTAAAAGTAAACTTAAATTAAGTGAACTAGTAGATACAAAAGCAAACAGCACATTCTTTATATATTAATAATAATGGTTAAAAAGGAGACTTCATTTTTTGCAGAAATATATATAACATGACATTGATCTGTTTATTAGAAATAAACTATTGTTCGAGTAATAGTATCAATACGTTTTAAATCTGAAACTGGTAAAAACATGACAGATGTTGCACTTTTTTTACAAAGTTATACATAATTAGTTTTGTAGTTTTAGCCAGGTTTCCTTTTTGTATTTGCAACGTCTTGGCGTGTTGTAATTTATAAAATGTTATACAAAGTGGGGTGGTGATGCTAAATGGCCATGATAATTATAGGAATATATCTGAAATGTCTTGTATGTAAAAAGTGTTAATAGTATTTAGAATAAAGGGTTACAATAATAAAATTATTAATGCGGCACAACCTCGGTCAAAAATATAAAACAGTGAAAACAGAAGACCTAAGACCATATTTTGTTGAGCATACATTGATGTAAGAAAACCGGCTGCTTTGTTGACTTATGAAAGCGTTGCATCTTTGCTATATTAGCATAAATTGTCCGTTTTATAATATGATAAAAATATGTAGATAAATGATCTGATGGAGATCAGCAATTAATCTCAAAATAGGGATACATGTTGGCCAACAGACAGACGCTCAAACAAATGGTGCCATGTCATGCGATATTATAAATTTTCGACTAGTGAGCCATGGAATATGATGTGATATTCACTGGTAGATGACATATTGGCCGAGGCGATACTGGAAATATGACATACATACAAACCAAATATGTACTTCCACATATAATGTAGAAACACATATAATTTACAATATTTGTATTGTTTCTAAAACACTACATCTTAATAAGAATGTAATATCTAAAAAATTACATAATTGTAATATTTTACTTTTACTAATGTAAATATTATGTAACAGAACTTATTAAAGGTTGGAAAAATATAAATGTTTTACGACAGATTTTCTTTAATGGACAACATAATAAGAAGTGATATTCTGATTCAATATTTTTATACGAGCATACTTTACATAATCGGTTATTTCTGTCACTTCTTAAGTATCTCCCTGTCTCTATTTCTAAGGAATGACAAAATAATATAAAACATGATAGTTTTTTCACGTATATTGTCATTCTTTACAATATTAAGATATTCCTAGAAACAATAATCATGGCATTGGCATATTATCTATACAGTCGTGTGACTCTTGTATAAATTGATCTCTTATTCCCTGTTTAAGTAACCTCTCGTAATTGACATTGTTAGCAATAACATACGGTATGTAAAATAGACCTGACAGAATACATATAGCTCACCACTTATAATCTAAATATTTATAGAAGCGCTGATGATTAACAATTTCATTAGCTCTTTCTTTCCATACAGACAAGGCACATGAAGTTTTCCATATTCAGTATAGATTGCACAATTTGGCGTTCGTCTTTTGAGATCTAAAAATATTAATAAAATCTTATCTGTAGTTTATCGATATCTTTTGGTTTATGTATACCCAAAAGATCTATCCGTTTTAAGATTGGAGCTAACTTTCTTTCGAAGTATAATTTGTATTAACATGGAAATTAAGTGCGAGAAGTACAAAGTACAAAATCTATAGTCCTGGGTTTACATAATTATAATGGGTTGTCAAATAACACACGCATTTCTTTTGGTGTTTTTGTATTCCTGTCTTTTAAACGTTGGGCATATGTTTATCTGCAAAGAGCAGGTGATATCCATACAAATCCTGGACAAGACTTAAATAGCTCTTAGTTTTCTTATTCTTCACCATCTACATCAAGTGTAAATGATATCCGAGAAAGCTTTAAAAATTAATTGCCTATGTGTATAATAACGTACAGAGTTTCTTACACAAAAGAGACATTTTAAAAGGTGAATTACAGCCCTTCGACGTCATCTCCTTTACAGAAATATGGCTTAACCGCCGTATGAACACATCTGCGGATGTTTCTAAATTCAAATTTTCACCATTTTCTTGTAAAATGTTGAATTCTGCTTAAGCCGGTGCTAGGGGGCGTGGACGGCAGTTTGCACTTAACAGTACCGTCCATGAACAGGCTCAATCAAACCGAGCCTGCAACATTTTCAATTTTGCCGCGTTGGGCTTTCTTTAGGGATTCTTATTTCTCTCTATTTTATCGCCACATCAGCGTTGTTTGTGCCGTGTGGAGGCCGTAAGAAGTCGCCCCGTACATTCAATCAGGGATGTTATATTTCCGATCCTAAAAGATCGTTCAGCACGACATAATTGCTGTGCTTGTGGTATTTTAGTTATTTCTATTCGGCATCTTTCTTGTTGGGTGGTTCCAGTATTCCTCACTTGAATACTATTGAATCACCTTTAGGATATGTTGCCTGCTTTTTAAATTTGTCTTTTGACGTCATATCTGCGGATGTTTCTAAATTCAAAATTTCACCATTTTTTTGTTAAATGTTGAATTCTGCTTAAGCCGGTGGTAGGGGGCGTGGACGGTAGTTTGCACTTGACAGTACTGTCCATGAACAGGCTCAATCAAACCGAGCCTGCAACATTTTCAATTTTGCCATGTTGAGCTTTCTTAAGGGATTCTTATTTCTCTCTATTTTAGCAACAATATAAAATCTGATTCGGTCTCTTTTGAAAAATGTTCCTCACCTTTCAGAAAGGACAGGGTTGTTGATAATCATATCAAATATTACATACACGATTAGATACACATTGCAGCTCTCTGAAAGAACGTTTGTTTTCAAAAATTACAACTGATAGAAAGCACCTTTTGTGTATATATATGGTGAAATCGAAAATACAGAACACTATTTCCTCCACTGTTCTATGTATCAAGATGACAGCACTGTCCTAACAAACAATTTAAGTCAAATCACAACTGTTACATTGAATACTTTACTATACGGCGATAATTCACTTACATATGCTCTAAATACATATACATAAATATATACAAAAACAAAAAGATTTTAATAATATCCGTTTCAAAAAGAAAAGGTCCATTCAACTCCATAGTAGTAAAGGGACTTTCTTTCTTTCTCTTGTTTCCTATCTCTTCTTTTCTGCTCTTATTACTTCTTCTTCAATGCATATGTTTTAATCATTAAATTTTCTCAACATACTAGTTAAGATGAAACACTAAACTAAGCAATACCAGTATATCCCTTCACAAATGAATTCTTACTCGTGCTTTTACCTAAAATCGAACAGTAATGGATCTTAAATTTAGTTCATGAATACTTATCATAAAGATAAGTACATTTATATATATACGTATGAAAGCAAGCACACGTCGATATGATATGCATAGTTTAGTTTACATATTTAAAATGTCTAAACTTTGTTAAATAGTGATTACGGAGAGTTTTAAAAAAGCTTTTCAAGGTTTGTACTCAATCCATATATTTTATTTTATGTACCTTATTATACAAATGTATAGTTTCTAAATAAATATTGTATATAAATTATCTTTTGACATGTAATAATATTAATAAAAGTTTATCGATGTTTTTTGGTTTATGTATACCCAAAAGTTCTATCCCAAATAAATAGTTTTGTATTAACATCGAAATTAAGTGCCAGAAGATTTTAATGAGCTTTTTAACCATGATCATGGCTACAAAAGTACATGTGTAAGAATATTTCACATCAAGATAAGTCAAACTAAAAACTACATTTTCAACCAAAGGATCATTTATAGTTATATTGAAATTATGGATTGACATACTTTTTTTTAAATACACATATTTTAGTTTTATCAACATTCTTCTTCAGACCTTATTTTTTATGAACATTAGAAATATTAGGTCTGAATGCTAATAGTATCATGTACAATAACACGACTGGTTTCCTAGCAGTTTCCGTCCTTAGCAGTTTTCCGGCCTTCTATCATTTTCGTCCAGTCCAAAGGGCAGCTGTGTTACTTCATCAAATCAGAGAGATGTTTGTTTTCTATGCATCAAAGCAGTTAAAATAGTACACCGATTTATATGTTTTGATGTTTATCCTGTTGTTTAATAACTGAGACCCGATTCCAGGTAAATAAATACAAAAAAATGCACTTTTGAACAATATATTTGCAGATAGCACGGAAAAGGATGGAAGTTCTATTTCTTTGATAAAATCATTTTAACATTTCTAAGTGGTACTGAATTATATTCAAGATAAAAGAAAAGGTCCAATTCAAAAGTATAGTAAAAGGATCATTGAAAAAATGATAATGCTGGAAAGGTACCTAACTTTGTTCTGTCATACTCGTCCGTAGGCAGATTTCTGTTTCATTTGATAAAAAGTGCGTTTTGGGGCCGGAAACTGCTAAGAAACCAGAATACAATATCGTCAGCAATAAATAACACATGATTAGATTACAGGTACAAGTTACTGTTTGACGTACTGATCTTATTAGTTGCCCTAATAATACTAGACTATATTGTCTCTGTCAATGTTTATTAGATTTATATTTTAATTTCTAATTCATAAACAAAAAAATCCTGATTTATGTTCTTCTTACTCATTAATTTATATGTTCAGTCACCCTGAATGTTTTAGAATTATGATGATAAGTCAGTTATTATACTGGTTCATGATAAAACAAATAAAAAAGTCTAATTCTTACCGCAATCATAAATTATTAATTACGAGGATATCCTGCATTCCCCTTATCAGACGATTTTTACTTTCTGCCAGTTAATATTTTCAAGGGAAACAACTTTTCATAACTTATTGACATACGTCTTGTATTATGTTGTTTCCCTTTAATGGGTTATTGACCTATATTTACGTGTTTACACACAGCTCAACATAAATATGCACATTTTGTGAATTATTGGTTCTGGATTAATACAAGATGTCAAGGTTAGTGAAATTGCTTTTCAACAAACTTATAATAAAACGGATATAGGCCCTGTTGATCATGGTTAACGGCTTAACGCTAAGAAATGTCTTCTAAAATTTTCGCATGTTCTCATATGTAATGTATGACTATCGTACTTTTTCATATGTATAGCATAATTAGCTGATTAGTATTTTCGGCTGCAAAAGTGAATGCATTTATGTATCCATCTTTCTTACGTCAGTGCTTTACGTTAGATAAAATAATTGATACCTTACATTTAAGCGGTGTTTTAAAGGAATAGGCCTATGTATACACTTGTATGAAAGCCGACGATTGTTTTCGTTGTAATTATTAAATAAACATGTAGTCCTACGTGTACATATACATCTATTTGTAGGTCTTTATATGTGTAATGTGACTAAGACGAAGAATAAGGAAGAGACCTTAAAACTGTTTAACACCATTTTAATTAAGCATTATATTTTAAATTTTATTTACAGTAAAGTTTAAAAATGCCTGGTGAATCTGTAATTGAGTTGTATGTTTATCTTTTATCTCTCCTTTATAATACTTATAAATATGACATCTGTCAACATTGGTAAACTTTGCATTTTTTTTTGATGAAATGTTGTATATTTTTTTATTTTAAGCAATTATTTTGATTGATTGATTGATTGATTCCGATCCGATCCATCCGATCGACCGACCGACCGACTGATTGATTTGAATCGACAGGTCCTTACTTTGTTTATTTACTATGCTTATATTGATAATATTAGCTATGTATAGAAGTTAACATTAATGACTTAATGTTGCTTTGTAATGGTGGAAAAAAGAGCGACATTTTAATTTGTGATGCAAGGAAATAACAATATAACTGCATGTATATAAACACAAACATAATTAATTACCTCTAGAGCTGTAGGAAGCATGCTGAAATAATTAATTCTTTATATTTCTTTTTAAAGGTTGTTGGATGCTATAACAAATCATGACACATACATGTTAAAGATGTTGACGTCAATGTCTGGCTCGTGTAACCCACGTGAGCTTAATCTGGGTCTTATAAAAGCAGCAAGTCTTGGTAAATAGAAACTTCTTTCCTAGTATAAGAAAATTCAAATGCATGCATACCAACATGCAAACAGATTTGGTAACAGGTGATAATACATGCAGTTTGTTTGTATATAAATAACATTGCATCATATTTAGACTGTACAATTATATTTAATAAACTATACAAAAGTAGTGTATGTTTAAGTAGTGTAACTATATTATTGCTTGGAGAAGACATATATGCCAGAATTATTTTTAAATAATTCCCGAGAGTTAACAATACATTTTTATCTTTTAGGTTACTCGGATTGTATTAAATGTCTTCTAGACGTCGGTGCTGATAAAAATTTCGTGAATCAGTCAAACCAAACACCACTATACGCTGCTGTTCAAAACAACAAAAAAGAAACGGTCAAGCTGTTGTTAGAAAACAACACGGATGTTAATTTGATAAGTGGCCTTCAGCACCTGTCAGCATTGCATATCGCTGCTATGCGTGGTTACTCTGACATAGTTGATTTACTGGTGGAACATAAGGCATCTGTACATTCGAGAGATTATGAAGGAAACACGCCTTTAGTCCTTGCTGCTCGAAACGGGCATTATTTACCCATGAAATCACTCTTGAAAGCCGGATGTGATGTGAACGCAGCTAACTATGAAGGGTGTACATCTTTGCATTTCGCGTGCCATAAAGCGCGAGGTTTTCAAGTTCTACTTGACGCCGGCGCAGATCCTAATGTTAGAGACAATGATAATATAACACCGCTGTTAATGGCCGCTTCTGAAGGATTCGATAACGTTGTAAAAGCTCTGGTAGATTTTAAATGTGATGTAAATATTCCCAATGATTCTGTCAAGAGAACAGCATTACACTTGCTAGCATATAAAGGTCACGCCGATTCAATTAACGCTCTCGTGTATGCAGGCGCTGAAATTGACGCATGTGACATCTATGGAAGGACTCCATTGTGGTATGCCATTGAAAATAAAAAATCTGAGGTTGTTAGACTGTTACTGAAATCTTATAGTCACGTTGATACATTTCAGTGCCAAACTTCATCAGAAGAAAATTGTCCTGCTAAACTTGCTTTTAAAAGTCAGCAATTTGATGTTATCAAGTTATTTATGTTGAGTGGATATGAACATGCGCACGTGAGAGAGTGTTTGCAGAGTGACGAATATGCTGATTGGGTAAGATCTTTACAAGCAGATGACGAGTTTTCGCATTGGTTAGATTTTGGTTCAAGTGCGCAAACGTTGAAACAGTTGTGCAGGAAATGGATCCGGCATCATCTGGGACGACATTTTTATCATCATTTGCAACATCTTCCAATACCGGATGTGATGAGAAATTATCTTCATTTAGAAGAGCTTCTTGACCACTGATGGAAACAGGATTTACATGACCACTGATGGAAACAGGATTTAGTGTTCCGCTACCTACTACCCATAAACCTTGTGCAATAATATTTTTACCAGGTGGACTCAGTATTTAAAAGGGATATTCTTGACCCCTTGTTCTATACTGTCATAATAGTAATTCAGAAATAATCTATACAGACTATGCACCTTTCAAATACATACATTTAGTATGATGGTCGGCAGTTTCAATAGAAATATCAGCTGTTGGATAAATAAGCATGTCGGTGTATTCATATGTTCAAAAAAAATCCCACATTCCTTGATTTATGTTGCTATGAGTTTAATAAAGTACTGCCTTTAACTGTTTACTTAGTTGTAAAGTATATAAATATGAAAAAAGTGTTTTAGTTATTAAGTTTGATAATACGGATGTATGCCGTAGATACTGGTTCGGCGTTTACATACAATTGTTTATAAATTTGATACGAATGAAATACATGTTTGTTAACTTTGTGTTGTAACAGATTAACTATTTAAATTTTAAATTTTTTAGGGGTTTACCCCGTTACTGCACTTTTAAATTAAACCCTTATTAAAACTCTTAGCCCTAAAAAAAAACAGAAAATTTCCTCATTCCCCCAGGGTTTTAACCCCGTAAAAAAACCCCAATTTTTTTTAAACCCCCCCCCCCTTTAAAAATTTTTTATTATAAAAATTAATTTTTTATATATATTTTTTAAAAAACAAATGTATCACGAAAGCATCACTACAGTACTGTTGATGCGACTGCACCTTGCCTGGTTGATGAGGAAACTGTGTACCAATGTCTGTTTTATTTCTGGCACGCACGGAATGACGCCTGAGTTGAACATCGACCTTTGAGAAAACATTGTAGCCAAGTTGTTTATGTCACCTACTGTTCTCCTATATGTGTTAATACTGATATGGAAAAGTTTACAAACTACAATTATGGGGAAATGATATAAACATATACACGTTACAACTTCAAGTATTTCACTTATAGGTTCAAACTGATGTAATTGCTTGAAATAAACTTAATTTTATATACTGTTCATGTGACCGTAAGGCGGTCGCCGGGAAACACCGTGGAAAAAAATTCATACATTTTCGTAAGTGAATGCAATATCAAATTTACATGATAAATCGTATTATTTTGTTTATAGTAGTTGATAACATTATCGGTAGATAGAAATCAAAGATATGCAACATCAACCGTTCAAATAATGATGCATTTAATATATTCGTGGTGTTGTAAATTTTACTAATCCGAAGAGATTGTGTATAAAGAATATTTTTGTATTATTAAAAAAATTAATTTCAAATTGACCTTGATAATATTTGCCTAGATAAGATGTACAAAGATTAGTTGAGATGTAAAATATATTTACTAGTTTAAATACATTATTAGAGCATTCAATAATTACCTACGGCTGTTAAGGCATTAGGTTCGTGCTTGGTCGGATTCACGGACATTAGCCCACGCATGATTTGCCACTGAGCCTTTTAAGTAAAAAGGCATGCAGCTTTAACTGTTGAATTTTCGGGGTAAAATCCCCGCACTGACCGGCAGTGTGAGAACAGGGTGAATGGTAAAATCCCCGCATTGACCGGCAGTGTGAGGACAGGTGAATGGTAAAATCCCCGTATTGACCGGCAGTGTGAGAACAGGGTGAATGGTAAAATCCCCGCATTGACCGGCAGTGTGAGAACAGGGTGAATGGTAAAATCCCCGCATTGACCGGCAGTGTGAGGACAGGTGAATGGTAAACTCCCCGTATTGACCGGCAGTGTGAGAACAGGGTGAATGGTAAAATCCCCGTATTGACCGGCAGTGTAAGAACAGGGTGAATGGTAAACTCCCCGCATTGAACGGCAGTGTGAGGACAGGTGAATGGTAAAATCCCCGCATTGGCCGGCAGTGTGAGGACAGGTGAATGGTAAAATCCCCGCACTGACCGGCAGTGTGAGGACAAGTGAATGGTAAAATCCCCGCATTGACCGGCAGTGTGAGGACAGGTGAATTGTAAAATCCCCGCACTGACCGGCAGTGTGAGGACAGGTGAATGGTAAAATCCCCGCACTAACCGGCAGTGTGAGGACAGGTGAATGATAAATCCCCGCATTGACCGACGGTGCGAGAACAGGTTAATGGTTGAATTTTGGCTCGTTTCTTCTGTTAAGGCTCCATTATCCAGGTAAGATTGGATGGGCCGTGGTTACAATTGATTGATTCAAGGATATTATTACTTAAAATACATGAAACTGAGTAAATACTCTCATCTTCTTATACTGTAGTAAAATTTTATCTAAGTTATTTATGGTGCATTTTCAAAGCAGGAAATGGGCTCTTGGTTTTAGATTATATAAATAAAGAACTGGATAAGAATTAAGAATGTCATTTTTTTTTAAAAATTCAGCCGTAGACACTTGATATAAAATGGTATGTTAAGAAATCGCTAGATTAGTGTGGATGAATGATAATACGGTGTGTGGGTTTAGGCAACTGATGTTAAAGGGACGCTAATTTTAATCAGGTGTGACTATATGAGTTATTCATAAATGAGCCGCGTCACGGCAAACCCAACATAATGGGTTTGCGACCAGCATGGATCCAGACCAGCCTGCGCATCCGTGCAGTCTGATCAGGATCCATGCTGTTCGCTAAAGGCCTCAACAGACGGTAGGATTTAGCTGTACAGCACTAATTAGAGATAAGATGTACAATTTTCAAAGCTATACAACACTTGCATTCAGACGGTAATTCTACACTGTAAGAATCATCTGAGGTTTCCCCTAAAAAGGATCCCTTTACATTGATCCTTTACATACTTTACTCACTAAATACTTTTTTCGCCATGAGTAATGATTGAAAAACCTCCATTTAAAAATATATATATATATATATTTTTTAATGTGAAGCCTGACCGAGACTCAAACCTAGGACCCTCGGAATACCGTACTGCGGCTCTGCTGACTAAGCTATCTGGTCGTCTACAAACTACTTCCCCTCCCCTATTTAGAGAATAATTCAATACCGTGACATAATCATTTTCGGAATAATTTGGGATTCGAACATAACACAACTTTGGGTCTCCTGAAGAGTTTTTCAACATCATTTTTACCCCATCTTACTACTATGTTTACCTTTTAGCCCTAATTGTTCTGGAATTTCATTCATTACACCCATTATCAGGAGATAATTTGGTTATCTGTTACTTGTCATTGTGGGAGGTCTATAAAAATCGGTAGGACAAGATTTTCAAAATAGAACATGTCCTATCCCTTACATCTTGACATAAGGTTTCCGAAATCAAGAAATAGTATCCTTCACACATTAAGATTTGTCTGTACATCTTAGTTTTAATTTGTGTTGTACTTCAAAATCCTACCGTCTGTTGAGGCCTTAACCAACCCTTTTACAAGTACAGCATGGATCCTGATCAGACTGTGCGGATGCGCAGGCTGGTCTGGATCCATGCTGTTCGCAAACGCACTATGTTGGTTTTGTCGTGACGCGGCTCAAATGTTTACAAGATTCAAGCGGGAAAATCTGTTTGAAGCGTATATGTTTAAACTGCGAAAATTCGTTATTTTGAGCATTTTTCAGACATTAGAGGTCATTGATCTGTTAAAGGAGTTACCAAATTATCGCTGACATTGTGTAGTGTTGCAATAGTTATTTTTGTAACTAGATAAAGGGCAAAAGACCCTTAAAATATGAGATAAAATGCCACAGTGCAAGTAGGGATTGATGTCTGAAGACCTATATTTACTCAGTATCCGTTCTTAAGTCAATCTATTTTAAGAGAAAACGTCATTTTGCTTCTGGGTATTTTTTGCCCGTTTGGAGTTAATTTCACAACATTATGCAGAGACGCATTTACTTTCAAAACATTTTGTAATGATTTATTCTATACCTATTTTTAGTCATGACAGTCAAACGAATTTTTGAGCATTTACCTAATGTTCATGGCTATGCTCTATTTCATTTTACATTTAATATGTACCAAATAAACTGTATTACCAGATACCTAAAGTATTACAGGTATTATTTAACGGAACAAAAATTCTTATGGATGATAACATTAGTTAAATTTATAGGAAACACCAGTTTAACTGTTTCCTTAACGTAATCCAAGCGCAATGATAATATATAATATTATATATTGCTCATATTACCTGGACATTAAGTCAGAACTATTAAAATGAACTAAAAAACCACTCAGACAAGTATTGGCAGACAAATATTATTGCGTACTGTATTGTTTATTTTCAGGGTAAACACATTTTTTGTCTTTACACGAACTTCCGGATTGGAGGTCCGTTAAACTGCACTTATTGTACAGTAGAAGTGATTTTCAAGCAGTAAAATTTACAGAATATCCTTATCTTGTTCACTTTTTCATTTGTTTCTTTCTTTCTTGTTTCTTTCTTTCTTTCTTTCTTTTGCTTGATACTGGATCTTTGTTTGAACAGCGTATGAAGCTGTGACTTGTTTTTCTTTTAGGGTAATGTTTATTAGGTTTTCAGATAAAGAAATTAGCTAAAGTCTTGAACGGTCAAAACAAGAGGTCATGCATATTGACTGATAATTAACTTCTGTTACAGTCGCTCTATTTTCTCATGACATCAAACATTGAACGAATTATCGAATTTAAGCAGATATCTCTGTAATCGTAACGGAAGCTAACTCACTACCGAGTTCTAGTTAAACTACAGTGTCTTCTATGTCAAACATCTTGTCTTACAAATAGATGACATCTGGATTAATTGTTTAAATATGATGTCCAAGCGTCCAGTGATCTGTCAGTTGAAATTTTAGACGAAGATTTAAACAGTGCATGGACGCTACATTCAATGCATATTCAAGAATCAAGTAAATATTTACCTTTAATTATGGCTATATGAAAAGATCATTAAAGATTGTTGATAAAATCTAGACTTTTTGATAACCTGACTGCTACGTGCGAGGTCTATTTAAAAAAAAAATTGCAGAAAATGAATAGATTGATATAACGATATTATTTTCATTTTGACAGGTCGGCTAATACGGCTATGTGTGCTCTCTATGAAAGTGAATATATTACTTAAAGCATCCTAACATATGAACACCGCGAAAATATGTTATACTACGTTACTGGATTATAAATAACAGCGTATACTATTTACACTTTCTCTTCTGTGAAAATAAAATGAACTGTTAAATATTTTGGGATTTTGGTATCAATTAAGCTATATATACACAAGATATACGCACGCGGGTAGGCGAGGGGAAAGAATTTTGAGAAGAACATATTGGATGGATTAAAACCCGGAAACCCCCGCTTTACAGGTTATTTTTAAAAAGAGGCGCAATGTTCAATTTTAAATTATATTTGATAAAAGTCTCGTAACCGACAAACCGTCTCTATGACAGCTGTGGTATATTTATTTAGATAATATTTTAAACAAAGAAGGACAAAGGATTGCAATATTAAACAGTATATGTGGACATATTATGCAAGGTAATATTTTATTCGTTTATGTGTATTTAAACATATACATATATTCACTGACATACATATTTCTGCTTGACATAATTGAAGGTTTTATCTACATATACATCTTGTGAGCAGTGTGAACAGTGTTCGACAATAAAGGCGGGACGATTAAACGTAATAATGTTAACAAGAGACGGAATTTAGTGAAAACATTCAAGTATCACCTTAAAACATGCTACAAGTATTACCTTAAAACATGCAGTTATCATTTGTTTACCGCCTTTTTCACAATGAAATAAAAAAAACTTTAAAAGTTAAGATAAATGAGTAGCACTTTTTCTATAGTGATTAAAGATCAATGATATTTTTTAAATTATTCTTTTGTAACCCATGTGTCGGCAGATGATGTATTAGGAAAACTCTGTATGGGATAAATCATTAAAGGACATTCATTTTTAGATAAAATCTACGAAATTAATTTAAACAAATTTGTTTTAGCTCGATTATGAAACATATTCTTGCAAGTTGTATTAATCATATATGACGAATCATGGCGTGACCCGAGTAGGGCTCGAACCTATGATCCCTAGGTAATATATGAAGACATAAAACACCGATATGCTGTCAGACTGTCTGACTTTTCCGAATTTATATAATGTATGATTTTCATTTCTAACATTTTTCCTATGTCTATCTGTCATTAATGTAAAATACTAGTGCACCAAAACCTGGACAATATTTATAGTATGTCATAGTTTGTCTCTACTTTAACCACTGGTCAGTTAACCTCCTTTAGTACAATGTTTGGACTTATACTGATCCCGCGATAAGGTCCGCACTCATACTTTACATTCAAATTATATCTGTAATTTCTATTTTATTTGTTTAAAGACTTTTTACTTACATTGGGTTCTTTAATTCATATTAACAACACAGGTTGAAATTGGATAGGTTTAATTCGAATAACAATACGTTTTTTAAGTTAAGTGTTTTGATTAGTTACAATACATAATACATATCTATTGTAAAACAGCGTAATTGTATAACAATATTTGACCATCGTTTTCACCTTTTAATGTAAGGACAAACAAAACATAGTGTATTGAAAACCATTAACTTATGACCATGTTTTATCGACAAATTATCAACAATTTATCGTAACAAATTCACCGTTTTTTGCCTCGGGTACATGCTTCAACAAATGAAGTAATTTTGTATCATACGTTGACAATCTATCCAAGTTAAACAATATTTCTTTGTTGATTACATTTCTGTAGTTGACTAACTGTATTGTTTTTTATAAAGACTATTGTCCTTTGATAAAGGAAATTAGATAGTGTAACACATGTTTTAATTTCATTCTGTACATGTGACTTCGTGGAAGAAAGGTGATTTTTAATTGCTTTTTTACGTCTATAAGAAATTATTTATTTTGTATAATTTTCAAAGTAATGGTATTTTAACTTACAAGTAAAAGATTTTTAAAAACAGTAGTGACTAAAGAATCTGGCAAGGCAAGGAAAAGTATTTATGTTTTAATTGATCAAATTTAATTTAAAGTTTTTCTTCTTCTTTTTTATGTTGTTGTTGTTGTTGTTGTTTTATTTTTAAAAGGCCGCACACATTGATTATAAAGGAACAAAAGAATAACTGCATTGATTTGTACAGCGTTTTATCGGAAACACGTTCGTAGAGCACAAAGAAACAAAGAAAAATGAACATGTTACTAACCGGAATAAGTGATTAACGGGAAATAATTTTGAAAAAATGAGCAGAGATATAGCGGATAAATTAATATTTGCATAATAAAACCTGTTGACAATCACTTGAATACAGGAAATGGTGTACATATCGGAACTGATAACGCCAATCGTCGGGCGGAAACAACGAGTTTTTCAAATAAGTGGCGGTTATTACTATATTATGTTCCCAATTTGTTCATTAGGATAAATGCTTTAAATAATGTCGTGAAACATGTATGTTAAACACATGCTTAGGGTGTTCTTACATTGCAGCTGCTACTTTCCAGCTATATACGTGTATGATTATTACACGTGAGTTACATGTACTTAATATATCATCATACGCTTTTCAAGAAATAAACCTATTTGAAAGTTACATTTTCTTCTTCAGATAAAAAATGTCGACGGAGTGTCTTCAGCCGTACAGCAGTCTAAATTCAACATGCATCGGTAACTCTGCAGGCCGCGTTGATTGGAATGCACGTGCAACTTGTGGAAATACCGAGACTCTTGCAACAGCACCATCATTCAACCTTTGTAATTCAGATGTGATCTGTGGTAATAGCTGCCTCTCTCCAGTGTGTATGAATAATCCTGGGTACCCTTGCAATATTCCGGAAGACGTTAGACACTGTATTGCAGCGTTCTTAAGCAGCGGGGACGCCGGCACGTTGTGCATTACACATGATAACATTAACCATTACAAACACGTCGCGCACGACTTACATCACGTGCAACTTGAGAAAATTTGCAAACAATTTATAAATGAAGTTGACAAAAACGGAAATATGAATGACAATATTTTATCAAATAAGGAATGTTTGAATCAAAACAGAAATTCAAATGTGCCTATTTTTGAAATAATGTTCTTGCGACCTGAGGACATTAATCAGCCAAACCAGGTCCTTGTCATAGATTTAAGAAAAAATGAGATTCACAAACTTGATGTTAAGAAAATCACAAGGTTCGGAGAAGGTTTTGCTTCGTGCACAGTTTACAAGAAGGAGTGCCCGTATGTAATCGTTTCCGGCGGATGTGGAAAAACTTCAAACTCGTTGCATAAATATGATGTTGTTGAAAACAAATGGATGATCTGTGACAACATGAAAAATCCGCGGTCTAAACATTGCATGGCATTTTTGGACGGTCACGTGTTCATCATTGGTGGAAAGGGTTGTTCGTCTGTAGAAAAATATAGCATTGAAAGTAACTTTTGTAACGAGGTTACCAAACTTCCGGTTTGTGTTCACTCGTCGGCCGTGGCTGTTTACAAGCATAATATCTACATATTTGGAGGAAAGACTCGGAAAGGAAATGTTCGATGTGTTCAGTGCCTCGATACAAGGACAAATAAAATGTCACGTCTCGATGATCTACCATTAGAATGTTCTGGTGGGCAAGCAATAGTCGTCCGAAATACCATATACTTCGCTACAAACCAAGGTCACATGATCAAATTCCATCCAGATTCCGGCCAATCAGAACTATGTTCTCATCAACCGTATATAAGAAAGCACTTTTCTATGTTTATAAGAAACAATAAGCTAACTGTCTTCGGAGGTATCAAAACTGAAGGACCTATGACAGAAAACGAGCTAACGGACAAAGAGAACACAATGTACAGTTATTGTCCAGATTCTGACAGATGGACACTAGTCAATTCATACAGTGAATGTGTACCTGTATATACAAGCTGTACTGTGCAATATCCGAAAGAATGTCCAGTAAAACCTTTCATGAAATTATTTGGCTATTGCTAGCAAGCGAATAAACAAATAACAGGCAAATAGCTTTTTCAATTCAAACATGCTAAAAGACATCAGTGCTATGTACAAAGTGCGGTAGAACTATCATTTATTGTATAGTGGGTACCTGCAGTCTGATCTATTAAGTTATCCTTTGCACATGAATTATTTTAAAATCCATTTTTTACTTTATATTGTGCAAAACAAATCATTTTTGCGAAAGTGTTACAAATTACTAAACGATCAGAAAAAATCTATACCTTTGGTTATGATCGAATGAACATATAGCTTTTGATATTTCAAGAGATGTAGATCCATCCTAGTGTCAATTAATAGTAAATTTATTGCAATGCAATGCAAATTTTATGGCAAGACAGGGTATACATAGTGTCCTATTGTAAGAAATATTTGAATGATGTTAGTGATCGACCTTTATGTTGTTCAGCTTACGATGCAATAATCATTCCTTGCTTTTTTCAAGTTGTAACCATAGAAAAAGGCCTACATTTTAAATGTATATTTGTACTATTTTTATCTTCTTAATGGTATTGCTATCTGTTTATTTTTAATATTTGTGTGGTCATAAAATAATGTCATGTCTTTGCTTGGAACTTTTGTAAGAATAAAAAATAAAAAAATAAAATAAAAAGAAATAAATAAAAAGAAATGTGGAAACAGTTGTTTTGTTAATATTTTATTGTTTTATGGAACATATGAATTCTAAATTGACTAAAGTGTGAAGCGAACCATCCCATCTGATTATGTTTTCTTTCTATGTTTGTTAATTCAGCCAAAGTTATTGAAGGTTGTCAATGAAAAACAAATTTCAAAATCAAATGTCTTAAAATGAAGTTAAGTTTTTTTACTGAGGCAATGGTAACATTTGTTTTGTTTTTATGCCCACATACAATAGGGGAGGGGGAATAAAGTGTTACTTTAGCGTGTTTTGGGAAAAGGTAGATACGTCATTTCCGGTCCAAACCTAGTGCATGCATGATGGGATTTCAAATTAAAGTGGTGCATTTTGGCCATCATATGTAGAGGATGTGTCGCGTGCAAGACCCAGATCTCCAGCCAAGAGACCAAAGTCATATCATGGTATTCGTATAGCCCTGAGTGTATTTGGCCATAACTTCTGCATGCGTCAAGGGATTTCAAAATAAAATGACACATATGACCACCATCAGTTGACGACGTTTCAGGCGCAAGGTTCAAAAGTCAAAACAAGGGATTGAACATTTTGTTATAGAGTCTGGAGTGCTAGGTTTGTGTCGTCCGGGCAATAACTTCTGCTTGCATGATAAGATTTTAAAATAAGCAGTACACTTGACCATCAGATGAAAATATATGACGCATGAAAGCCTCTCTTAGTTCAAAGGTCGTTATGTTGGGATTAACGGACAATGGTACATATGATCAGCATAATTTAAAAGACAGTGTGTTATGTGCATAAACATGTCTGCATCTTTAAGGTCAAGGCTGTACATGGAAGTCAAAGGTCAAATCCTGTCCGGATAATAATTTTAGCATTACTTGATGTATTGTCTAAATATATGGCGTCATTACTGTCAATGCCATTTTGGGGGGTCAAAGGTCAAATTATGTTTGTCATTACTTGATGGATTGTCAATTTATTTGACATATGCCTTCATACCAGTCTGACGGAGTGCCATGTGCAAGATCCATGTCCCAAGGCTGCACTTGAAGGTCAAAGGTCTAATCTTCATTGTCCACGAACCTCTTTGGTTTATTGCTTTCCTATACCTTGATGTATTGTCAAAACACTTAACAGGTATTTCTCAGAGGTAGTGTCACATGAAGGTTGTCCGTAGAGATAGAAGTGTCATATGAGATGATATGACACGGGCACCCCTGCCTTTTTTTATTTTTTGATGTTTTTTATTTATTTATTTTTGTTTGGGCGGTCTCTCCTTTTTCTTGTGATTTTTAATTGTATGTAAAGTAATTGCGTCTTAAGTTGAAACTTTTCCACTTTGTTATCGGAATAACTATGCAATAACTTTTCATTTTGTTGGTTTTCTATAAAATGTATCATTTGTCATGGAAAATACGGCAAACAACTTCCTTTCCGTTTTTCTGACGTGTTTACAAATTTTCAAAAAAAAAATAATCCCCATTAAAAACAGGTCATGAATATTTATTGACAACATTTATCATCTATTTATATTTTCATTTCATTCAGATTAAAATGATATCATCACTATTTAAAATAGTGATAATCATTTGAATAATCTAAATTACTACCAATATCATAGTATCATATCAGTTACTAATGTACCCGAATTGTTACCAGATGAAAATATGACAAAGATTCTGGGTTACCAAAAGCCGATATATTAAGTAAGGTAAAAAAATGTAATGTTTCGAGTCTGTTTCCTTTTAGACGTTAAGTTTACTTTTACGTTATTTCGATTACTTTTCTTTACATCTTAACAATAAAGATGAAGTATAACGTCCCTGAGGAAGTTCGAAAGCTACGGTGAATTTAAATTAGCATATTCATCAATAAAAGAATATTTAAAATATAGGAATATAAGAAAAATTCCCTGGCTTCCTGCCATCTTTTCTAGCGGGGCAGGGGATGGGGGTTTCCAGAAAGAAAAATGCTTTTTGTTTGGCCATTAAAGCGAGGAAATTCTGCGATACAATAAGTAATTACAATGTATGTAGTATTGTTGTATCATACATGCAACAACCCACGAAGAATATTATATGGGTGTAAGATACATGATCCGATTATTTCATATCTTTATAAAGCAGATTCTAAATTGTTCTAGTACAAAATATTATTTTTGCTCATCAAAGATCACTTAAACCTCTATAAACATTTTGTTTCAAGCAATATTTTTAAGAAGATATATACATATCTATTGTTTTTATCAATATTTGAAATATTTATGGAAAATGTGCCTATTGTCGACAAATCCACTTTAACTGAAATTAATAATGTTTGCTGATATGTTTATCGGGTATTTTTGGTGATGAAATACGTCGCAATTTATAATCAGACCTTGACATATATATAATTATGTTCTATTTATATATTTAACCGTAAACATCTGATACACGGTAACTCGATTTTTTAAACTAAATTATAGGGGTTTTTGTGGGACAGAAGTAGTTAGTCAATCCTGGCCTCCCAGTCTTCAAACATTAATCAGTTATTTTCATTAAAGCTGCATACCTCCAGAAAAGTAAAAATATTTCAAGAAAATCAAACTTGAGAAAACTGTTCTAAGATTTTAAGAAAAGCAACGAGACTTAAGCTTCAAGTAATAATTTGCATGTTATGTGCAATCATTGACCGATCTTGCGGTATTTATCAGATATTTCTGCTGCTAGTAACTAACGCAGTAAGGACTATTTTTGCATATTTTGATCTCTTTTTGGTAATTTAAGTGGATTGTAAGCGCTGCTTGCAATGTGTAAATTAATATGTTCAGTTCATAATATTTTACTTTTAAATACATTTACAAAATATTCATGAAAATTAGCATGAATCTGGAGGCATGTTACTTTAAACTGAAAAATAAGTATTGTAATACATGATGTTGCTGCATGTACCCAGCAGGGTCTATTTATAAAAACAGCATCATATCCGAGGTGGGCTGAAAGGAAAATGAGAACCCTTCAAGCTAAACGTTCGATTAAATTGTTTAATACCTCCTGAACATACTCGTATAATTAACTGACTGGACGTTCTATATCACTGTGGTCCGCTGTTACAATCATCAATCATGAAAAAAAGAGTATAAATAATGTAAATAAATATCAATTTAATATTGAGACATTGTCATGTTTGTGCTCGTTTTTTTCTTTTGAATTCTATAAGAAAAACAATAATACAGCATTTTATTATGCGAGTGAATAAAGAAAGGTCAGTGTGGGGCCATTTAGAGGAGGTTAAAAAGATTCCGGATGCTTTTCACGCTACAAAATATTTAACCGGGGTGTTATACCGCAAAATGTCAAATAAGGGTCTACTGACCACACTCGCCATAGAATACAACCACAAAAATGTATCTTTATTGTACACTGGATGGTAAAGGTCATTCTCAGTTTCCATCTTCACATTCAACACTTTGTTTATTCTTTTATACAGGCAATTATTTTTGTAAATTAACTAATACTTCAGGGATCGTTTGGGTAATTGAACATTCTCTTTTTTTATACAAAGGTCAAGATGATATGTTTTCTAAAACGTCCCTTTCTTCGTCGGTGATATAATCTTTGAGATATTCCATCGTCTGCTTCCACAGCGCTTCCTGTTTATTCACATCTCTGAAAAAAAATACAGAAATGTTTCTCGCATAACCACGTTAATTCCTGTCACTTTCAAGAATAAAACATATTCACTTAGCAACGTGTTAAAGGACCTGAAAACAGATAATCTCTTAGTCCTTAAGATGCTGAGTTTTTTCTTATGGATTTGTCTTGCTTGGAATCGGGAATAGATAAGTTAGAAACTAAGAGATTTCAATATAAAATAAATAAATTGAACTAGCTGAAGTGTAGAAGCCTAAGCAAACTGAAAAATCCTGTTTTATACTGGTAGGAAATGTTAATATCTTTCTGTTAAATCACCTAAAATGTTCAAATAACTGGAGTAGTTTTCTGTATCGGCCTACATAATGTGTTTAAATTTCTCGAAGATGTTCTCCAGCGGCCATGGATAAAATACTATTTACAAAGAGAAGAAGAACACTCTGATTTATGTTCTGTTCGCCTGTTTCTCTCTTCTCTTCTGTTCTTTTTTTTTTCTGTCTCTGTTCTGTACATTACAACAAACAGATACAGTTCTCAGAAGAATCATGTACAAATACAGATAGATGAAGACAATATACGCTATAGACAGTACAACACTTTCAAGTATCTTAAAAAAATTAAAATGAGTAAATAAAATAAAATACGAAGAAAGGCAGTAAGAAATTTTACATTTCTTTACATCTATAATTTAATAATAAATTGTAACAAAATATGAGATTCAAAATATCAGAAATCCCTGTTCTATTAAGTATTTCTTACCAAATTATTCGAAATAATGTTGTTAGTGCAAAAGAAAGGGACATAACTAGACATGGTTAATATGACCAAGGTCATGAGTACATTCCCTTGATCCTTGCAATTTATAATTGTGCTGCACAACACCTTGCATTTTTGTGCTGAAAAATATTATCTTTTACATAGATAGCAGCGTTAAACTATGAAGCAGTCGATAAGAGCTGCCCTAAACTCTACCACTTATAAAATACGTCGTACAACATGTACAATGTTCTCAATGTTACTTTATTTATTTATTTTTTTGATCATTCGGAATACATAGTTTGGTAAGACCAGTAAGAAAAATTTTCCAATATTTTGCAATCTTTTTTTAAGGCGCATTAAGCCTCAGAAATAATTATTTAGTCATTCTGTAGAAACAATGTTGTGTATATAGTATGCGTTTAATAATGTTCTAATAATGGATTAAGAACAATTGAGACGATTATCGACAGAAGCTAACAGAGCTGCCTGTGAGATGATTTGTCATAAAGGTAGCAAAATGTAAACAAATCCATACAAAATAATAAATCACTATATCTATACTAAATGCCAAAATGAAAAAAAATGATGTCAGAGCTATATAACCAATGCATAACTATTGGAAATTGTATCAGGACACCAGAAATGTTTAGCTTTTCGAGAAATAAAAAAAATCTACTTTTTAAGGCTTAGTGGGCTTTAAAACATTCAATAAAATTATGATCTACCGATTTTAATACAGTGTAATGTTAAGAGGTACAAGTATACTCACCTTGATGTAGATGTATGGTTACCATCTGTACAATTATAATAGTATCTACCACTGACACCAGCAAGTTCAGGGTTCACGGCAGCGTTTATAATGCTAGATGCTCCATCTATAGGTGACTTTAATTTACCTGTAAAATATGAATTTAGTGATAATTATTTAAATAGCTTGTTATATTGAAGTTAATGAAGTTGATATATTAGATTTTGGCAACGTTAACTGTTAAAAAAATTTATAAATGATTCAAACATAGGATTATTAAGCATCATGTAATGTATAATTTCATGTGACCTAATGATATATATTCATAAATTGTTTACGTTACATACACCATATATATATATATATATAATATACATGTATTTTATGCTTCCGTTTATATTTCGTAGGCATTTCATGTCCGACACTGTTTTGATATGTTTTCCTTTTTATAGGAACATCTCATGTGATATTATGTATCAAAATTTCTATAAATCTGTTGCATGTATTGTTGTTATATGATGGATAGTAACACATTTTTAGACAAAAAATATGTTATCGACTTTCACATACAGACAAACCTGTAGTAAAGGCAGCCTCCAAATAAAGTTCACCCTATGAATAAAGACCACTCTTCAAAACACCTTCATTGATTGAATAGAACAAAGTTACCTTACAATTAAGATCACTTTAGTTATAATAACATTTTTTATTCTAACCGAGCAGTTTTGATCCTTTGAAAAATATCACACTCCAGAAAAAGGAGTCTTGAAAGTTCCTGTTGATCTCTGTGTCGACAATACCCGGATGTGAGCTATTTATGGAAACATTTGTATCTTTAAACCGCCTTGCCAAGCTGTACATTTGCATTATCTGTAGGATAGAGAGTATCAATTAATACGAAATAACTAATTACAGTAATTGGCATTTTAAAATACTCGTTTAATTATAGATAGTACAAGACCCTTGAATTATAATTATAAATCAATGGGCTCAAAGTCACCCAAAGAGACGGATAATCAGACAGACAGGTCAAAACAATATGCTCTCTAATATTAATCTATACATGGACATTATAATGAATGAAAGAAACGCCGTTCTTGGGAGCGATATGCTAGACAAGTACCTTTGACATTCAATATGATGCTTTAAAGTACGTCGATTTTCAATGCCAATGCAACACTTTGTGTTCACCCTCACACCAAAAAGTTATTTCACTTCTTACTTTGCTGTTGCTGTTGTGTATTGCTCTTTGTTTAAGTTTTTTTTTAATGTTTACACTTACTCTTTTATTATATGAAAACTCAGTTTCACAGATTATTTTGAATCTGTATTATAATTCTCTGTTACAATGAAGTCTCATTTATGAAAATAATGCAGTGTATACTGTGATGACATATTATTAACCTGGTACAATTTTGAACGGCCATAGTAGTCTAGTCTTCCAAATTTAGAAGCATTGCCTTCATAATTCATTGTCTCAACGTCAAAACTGCACGCTCTGTGAGCATCACTTGACATAAACAATATACGACAATCGGGACCAGACTTGCGCATGACCGGAAGTAGTTTAGCAACCATAAGAAAATGACTGAGATAGTTTACTTGTAGCATCTTTTCAAATCCGTCAATTGTTTTCTCTGAAAAAAAATATATTAATGATAACTCCAAATCAGAAACAAACATAATTTAAGCATTTTTTTTTTATTTTCATTTTAAGTCAAGTTTTGAATAGCACTGATTTTATGTGTCATTGTTCTATGTACGACAAGAATGCTTAATATTTAACAAGAGCGATCAGTGATCACATGTGTCGTCTCATGATGGCCAATTTCATGTTGGGACAAGTTTTGTGACAGACGGACAGACAAACGGATAGTCCACAACTAGACTTGGTACTGATCATTCCTGTAAAGTTTGGTTAAAATTGCACCAGTAATTTATGAGGAGTAGTCCGGACAAGCTTTTGTGTATCTGGCAACACACAGAAAAAACACCTTTTTATCAAAGGGCCATAACTCGGCCAAAAGTCAATCAACCGAAAAACCCGTGCAATATGCGCAAGGACTTGAGCTACAGATCAATCCTGTAAGTTTCAATGAAATTGCAATAGTGGTATAAGAGAAGTAGTCCGGACAAACTTTAAAAATAAAAATTATTAAAGGGCCATAACTCTGAAAAAAATCATTGAACCGGAAAATGCTGACAATATGCACAACTAGACTTGGTACTGATCATTCCTGTAAAGTTTGGATGAAATTGCACCAGTAGTTTATGAGGAGTAGTCCGGACAAGCTTGTGTGTATCTGGCAACACACAGAAAAAAACACCTTTTTATCAAAGGGCCACAACTCGGCCAAAAATCATTCAACCGGAAAACCCGTGCAATATGCGCAAGGATCAATCCTGTAAAGTTTAATTGAAATTGCATTAGTTGTATAAGAGAAGTAGTCCGGACAAACTTTAAAAATAAAAATTATTAAAGGGCCATAACTCTGACAAAAATCATTGAACCGGAAAATGCTGACAATATGCACAACTAGACTTGGTACTGATCATTCCTGTAAAGTTTGGATGAAATTGCACCAGTAGTTTATGAGGAGTAGTCCGGACAAGCTTGTGTGCATCTGGCAACACACAGAAAAAAACCCACCTTTTTATCAAAGGGCCACAACTCGGCCAAAAATCATTCAACCGGAAAACCCGTGCAATATGCGCAAGGACTTCAGCTACAGATCAATCCTGTAAAGTTTCATTGAAAATGCATTAGTGGTATAAGAGAAGTAGTCCGGATAAAAATTATTAAAGGGCCATAACTCTGACAAAAATCATTGAACCAAAAAATGCTGACAATATGCACAACTAGACTTGGTACTGATCATTCCTGTAAAGTTTGGATGAAATTGTACCAGTAGTTTATGAGGAGTAGTCCGGACAAGCTTTTGTGTATCTGGCAACACACAAAAAACACCTTTTTATCAAAGGGTCATAACTCGGCCAAAAACCATTCAACCGGAAAACCCGTGCAATATGCGCAAGGACTTGAGCTACAAATCAATCCTGTAAAGTTTCATTGAAATTGCATAAGTTGTATAAGAGATGTAGTCCGGACAAATTTTAAAAATAAAAATTATTAAAGGGCCATAACTCTGACAAAAATCATTGAACCGAAAAATGCTGACAATATGCACAACTAGACTTGGTACTGATCATTCCTGTAAAAATTGGATGAAATTGCACCAGTAGTTTATGAGGAGTAGTCCGGACAATTTTTGTGACGGACGGACAGACAGACGACGGAGAAGAGATCCCTATAATTTTATTATGTCGCCACTACTACGTAGAGGCGACACAAAAATAACAGTTTCTTTCCTGTTTACATGAGTAAATGTTATGTTACATGGAGGTCATAAGTGATTCTCCTTTGTTCAAGTTGTATTATATTATATTTTATATGTAACAAATGTTAACAAATTAATTCCATATAGCTCATAAATTAACTATATTATGTTACTGTTTTATATTTTAAAATGCACTTCTAGGTCGGTTCTGCCATCTTCTTTCTGCTTCAGGGGGGACGTAAAACATTATTTTGACTAATTAAGAAAAGTTGATTTTAAATTTTAAAGCACGGTTGCTCGTGCGTAATCAATCTAACTGCACTTACCATACGGTGCCATACCAATGCCGGCATTACAAACCAGTATGTGTAAATTCCTGCCTGACTTCTTAAACTCATCAACAAATTGTAAGGTGGACTTAAAAGATCCCAGATCTAGTGGCATGAAGCTTACAGCCAGGCTGTCATACGTCTGTAGTTGATGTTTATCACCGAATTCTTCCTTCATCTGCTGGTATTCTTTATTCATCCGTTCTATAGCCTATCAAATGATAATAATGCATGTACATGTATATCCATCACCGGACTATTTGAAAAGATACAGCGACAGTACGCTGCCAAGAATATTTACGCCTGATTATAATTATAATGTGTAAGAAAAATGGTTTATTTCAGTACAAAACACATTATCTCGTTATTTATAATCTTATATAATACCGTCATGGTCACAATCACGTGATAAAAAATAGAAAAAAAAACACTAATGGAAATAATCATTTGAAGAAGTCATTTAAATCATAGAAGCCGTTTGTATAAGATAATATTTCGGAGTCATATTTTTTATTATATTATAATATAATTATTTTTCAGTGAAATGTTGTAGGAGGAAAAACAACTTTCCTAAAAGGTATAACAAACATTTTTAAAGTCTATACTACTAAATACGATATGCCGGCCCTTTTTAAGGTCTTTAAAACATCAATTTAAAGGCGAGTCTCGTTATTTACTAATATTTATTGATAATAATGTTTAAACAAACTTCAACTGCTCTCTGTTCCGATCTGCATCCAATGATGACCGTGGCCCCCATCATCGCCAACCATTTTGCTATCTCGTACCCTAAACCTAGAGATCAAATATACAATAACATATAAACCTAGTGATCAAATACACAATAAAATCTAAACATAGAGATCAAATATACAATAACATCTAAACCTAGTGATCAAATATACAATAACATCTAAACCTAGTGATCAAATATACAATAACATATAAACCTAGTGATCAAATATACAATAACATCTAAACCTAGTGATCAAATATACAATAACATCTAAACCTAGTGATCAAATATACAATAACATCTAAACCTAGTGATCAAATATACAATAACGATCAAATATACAATAACATCTAAACCTAGTGATCAAATATACAATTAAATAACATCTTTATTTTAGTCGGTTACATGTAAAAGATGGACACGTTTATGCATGAAGTAATACCAAAACTTATCATTACTGCTCTAGCTGGCAATACAGTAATATTCGATAACACAAAATTTTTACTTGTATATATGCGCTATGTATATCATCTTATTATGCATATGTGTATTTAAATGTTTATATAGTCTGAATTTATTGACCTGTCAATTATGAATACATTATAGCACTCATTTACATATTCGATCCCACTTCGGTTTTTTCCGTTTATTTTACGAGAATTAATATGGAGTGTATCACTTACGTTTGGAAAAGTCTCACTAGATTAATGTAGGTCCTTGTAACATCCGCAATAGCACAGTCGGTTAAGTGATTACCTAATGCATGAGGGGTCCGAGGTTCGATCCCCTTTTTGACATTCTTTTTAGACTTATTCTTTCTTTATTTTTAAGTATATTTTAATGAAAATGGTCAAGCGCTTGCAATTTGTCTACACGGATATGAACCAACTAAGAAACACCGAATTGTCACATTTTATATTGTATAATTACATATATTGATTTTAATCGGAATGAATTTTCAGTATTAATTCTTAAACATTGTTATATACAAATGTATAGCATTTACAAAAAGGTGCAAAACATATTAAAAACGGAACAACCATAACTTAAAAAACATGTTGAAAACAGTTATGAATAAAAAAAATACTGGACATACTCTGTCTCGATCCTACTACACGTTGAACATTCCGATAAAATATACCAGTGGTTTACCCTATTGCACTATAACGGTCAGTGTAACTAATTCAAAATAACAAGATGAATTTAATCACATCTTACTGCGCACATCTCACGGAATTTACCGAACATTTATCGAATATTAATATATTCTGTGCATTGACCGTATAATCAGTATGGAATTGACAGGTTAATAAAATCAAACAATAATATGCATATTTTTTTTCAGTCGTTTGTTTATGTAAAACGTGTAGTAGACAACAAGTTTACTGTCAGGGAATGTAACTGAAATACATTTTACAAATTTTGTTTTATCAAACAATAAGTACTTAAGATGGTAATCCATTTATAGTGTTTTTGTTTCCTAAAAACAATAATTTTAAATGGAATTCTAGATTATATAAAAAAAAATCTCACAGCATTTTTGTTACGAAATAGGCACAGGTGCGTATTTTTGTATTTATTAATGTTTTTTATGTAATTTGTAACCAACTTTATAAAAAAAAAATACTTGACTTGAAAAGCAGGAAGTCCAAACTCTAATGGCATTATTATGAATGAGTTTTATACTACCTGTATTTCCGCCAGTAACGACTGCAATCCGGTCCCGCGGGATCTGCACGATTGGGAATGATGGTCGAGCACCCATGTCTTATTTAATGAGTTTAGAAGTAAGAGTTGCTTCCCGTATTTGTAACACTATCGATGCACTTGAATTGGTAAGTATGTCAATAACCATCCTATAATTGGTAAACAAACTATAAATATTGAAACAGTCAGACGTTCAGTGGATAGTAGTACATTTAATAGTAATGAGATTAAAACTAGTAAGTAATTTTTACTCTTTTCCATCGAATACAAAATAAATGCAGTTCAACAATAAATATGTAAGAAATTTAAACTCAAGGTGCAATATTAAGAACGTTCCTCATGTGATGTTTCATGTTTTATTTAGGAAAATAAACACTGATAAATTACTTACTGATCTTTAAAACAGTACCGTTAAATTCAATGATCTAAACGAATAATCCGTGCATATATTTGGATAGATCATGGAAATATTGAACACACCTACCCAGTGTTTACATACCTTCGTTTATACCCGTTTATATAGAACACGGAAATGACATCGGATAGTAACGCTTTAATATGTTAACGTTAAAAATGCTGTACACATTTTCTGAGTGCTTAAAGTCACCCGTCAATTGTTCTTAATGGATATGTACAACCTCTTTAGAGGGGCCATCTGTGGAGCAACAACCTCTATACAACAACAACAGTATGTGCCATTTCTTCTCAAAGGTTGTTCATCGTCACCTTAGTATATTATTAGGTTAAGTCCAGGAGTTAGGCCGCTATTCCATTTATACGTGATCAGTGGTCCGCGTCAGTGATCCGTGTCCGGGCATGTCCGTGGGTATTATTCCATAGGTACGTTATTTTCTATATACTTTTAATTGAAGTATAGCGAACAGAGGATAATTATTTGTAGAATATGATATAATTTCATTCTAATACCAAAAACAGTTGTAACATCAAAGAATTAGGTAACATCATTGAATATCAGTTAGGTTTTCAAATAACATCTCTTTAGCAAACCGATGACCAGATGTTGTTTTTTTTAAATCTGTCATTGCTGCATCATAAACTTATACGTTCTCCTACACTATTTTGGTGACTTCTTTAGTATTTTCTTTCGAAATCGATAAAGTATTTAATTTCGTTCGAGGCATTTTGTAGGGATGAGACATGTCAGTGACTGTCCGCGTCCGTACAAAATCGCTCAGCCTGCGAAACGTCGCGGATGCCGTCGCGGAAGCGGATGGTAAACGGACAAAAGGAATAGATTCAACGTATTCTTTGATTAGCGAATCGGTAACGGATGCGGATGACGGACGCGGACCACTGATCACGTATAAATGGAATAGCGGCCTTAACCAGTTGTTGCACTAAGGTGACGATATGTAAATCACGTTTTAACTACTTGATTCGATTTCAAGGTTGGCACTTTAGTTTATTTTTCTTTTTAGTTCAGGATATAAATTAAAGCTATGGTCAAAAATTTGATCAATTAGGATATAAGGTAGTTGAAAGTTTTGATATTCTATTCTTAAAATATGGCTGAGTTATTTAAAAAGTTAAAGAAAGAGCATCAAAACACGAGGCCATCTGATTTGTACAGGGAGGCGTATCCTCCGAATATTAATCAGATGACGGACCCTCTGAGTATGAAATAGATTGCCGAGCCTCCGAGTGTAAAACAGATTGCCAAGCCTCCGAGTGTAAAACAGATTGCAGAGCCTCCGAGTGTAAAACAGATTGCCGAGCCTCCGGATATATAAATCAGATGGGGGACCCTCCGAGTATAAAACAGATTGCCGAGCCTCCGAGTATAAAACAGATTGCTGCTTAGCCTCTGAATATAAAACAGATTGCCGATCCTCCGAATATAAATCAGATGGCGGACTCTCCGAGTATAAAACAGATTGCCGAGCCCCCGAGTATAAAACAGATTGCCGAGCCTCCGAATATAAATCAGATTGCCGAAACTCCGAGTATAAAAAGATTGCCGAGCCTCCGAATATAAATCAGATGGGGGACCCTCCGAGTATAAAACAGATTACCGAGCCTCCGAGTATTAAACAGATTACCGAGCCTCTGAATATAAAACAGATTGCCGACCCTCCGAATATAAATCAGATTGCCGACCCTCCGAGTATAAAACAGATTGCCGAGCCTCTGAATATAAATCAGATGGCCGAGCCTCCGAGTATAAATAAAAAAAACGAGTGTTTTGGTGATTTTTACTTCTGTGTCATAGTCACAATTAAGTAAAACACATGAAACCATAGCATCTGAATATTAATCCCTTTCATGTCGTCACAATAAGTTAACACCCTCCCCCACCCACAACACCCCCCCCCCCGCCGAAAAAAACGATCAACAAAAAACAACAAGAATACAAGCCAATCTATAAGCATGCCGACAGAAAGTGCGGGTAACTAATATGGGTGTACGATTAATAGCTGACACAACTGAAAAGTCTCCAAACTATGATACAATGTACGTTTAATATTAATTAATAAAAATAAAAGTCATTATTATCAAATGTATATTAATACATTTTCGGTACAAGAAAAATAAATCCAGATGTAACGCAATTTCCTAGATATGTAAACTAATATATTTATAATTCAATTTGTGCATTTTTTAATAAAGATCAAAATCACATTTAAATTAACGATGGCACGTAACGTGCACGTGTTCAATGTGATACAAACGTGAAAAACTAACTTGAGTTATCGAGAAAGACACTAATAAATGCATTTAACATGAAGCATATTTTGAAACTACCTGTATAACTCAACTGTTTTTACAACCATTAAAATTCAGTTATTAAATTGGGGTAGTTTGTTTAAATATTCAAGCATAAACTCAGATATACTTGTATTTGCCGAAAGGATCGTTATGCATGCAAATGATATATGTGCCGCTATGATAATGTGAGAGTGACGATGCAATTTTTGTGTACACAAAAGTTTACAATCTTTGTCTGAATAGGTAAAACAGGGTATTTAGAAGTGAATATGATTCAAAATCAGAAATAGAATTTGAAAAGTCTCGATGGCAAAGTTGGTTAAGTCACTAGGATGCCATACAAATTAAATTGTATCATGAGTTCGAGCCACACAAGTTGTCAAACCTTTTTTTCCTTTTTCTTTCCCTATTTTTATTTTTACATGAGATGCAAATTAATTGGAATATAAAGGCAGTTTTGTTATAATTTCGAATAATTTATATATACCGGAAATAATAATTTTTATTCTGTGTAGTGTGTAATATATATTAGTAGTACTTTTGCAGTGCATAAGTTTTTCGTGCCAACTTAACTATAGTTGAAACAATTTATGTACATGTATGCATTCCGTATCAGGTTGCACCAACTTGCTAGATATAGCAACATTTAAAAACAAAAGTGAAATGAGAAGTTAATAGAAAAAACACAGCGCTAATAATCTTTACAAGAAAAAAAGAAAATCTTAATCGGTTGATAATTATACAAAAAATTTGGGACCGAACCTGGCTGTCTTGCATTGATATGTAACTAAAAAATTACCACACAACTTTACCTACTGCGTTACGCCGCCAGTTGGTATTTTAATGTATATGGCAAGCCTGCTTGACTTAAGATATTAAACACAATCTGTTTTACACCGTTAAAGTGGACTTGACCACCGCGTCACTAAATAATTATCCGAAACGCACAGTATCAACGATATGCCAAAATGCTTGAAATTATTTTCAATATCTAATGTAATACTGTAAATGTACTATTTCATGAACTTCGCCAGTTTATATAGGTAAGTATCCCAGCCATATTCAAGTTCGTTATCGCCAGTTATAATTTTATAATTCAAAGCACGAGCTACACGTCCACGGTGTATAATATATACATGATAAACGGAGAAAACTGGCGAAGATCCTGTAAATATAATTATTTGATTTGGAGACAATGCTGTGCCTATATGGATATTTTATCACAAATTAACGTTTGCGCTTTAAGTCATTTGTGACCAAAAACCGGTATTTATAAAACTTAAGTAGAAACTTTTAAGGTCCATTATGCCCCAGATCTAAATGATATTATTTTTATCTCTCAAAAGCTGTTTTTTTTTTGGTATCTTTTTACAGTTTCAAAAAAACTTATTTGCCATATTCATAAACTATCTTTTGCTAATTTTCGTATGTTAGCCATTGGTATTATTATCGTTAATTATTATTTTGTATGGAAGTCAAAATACTACTTTATTTACATTTTGCTACGTTTACGACATTATCACACAGATTTGCAGGTGATAACTCTCGGTACAGTTATAGATCCGAAATACATGAGCCGCGTCACGACTAAACCAACATAGTGCGTTTGCGACCAGCATGGATCCAGACCAGCCTGCGCATCCGCGCAGTCTGATCAGGATTCATGCTGTTTGCTTACCAACTCTATTTTAATTAGAGAAACTGATAGCGAACAGCATGGACCTGATCAGACTGCGCGGATGCGTAGGCTGGTCTGGATGCATGCTGGTCGCAAACGCACTATGTTTGTTTTGTCGTGACGCGGCTCACATGTTTTTTTTGTTTTGTTTTTTTTATTGACAGGTTAACAACATAAGAGAGTTAAACTGGTGCACTGACTTTTCTCAGAAATCGCCTTTATTTTGTCAAAATATGAGGAAATAACCACCATTACTAAATTTACGTTAGTAACAGGGTATAGATATAATTATGAATTTACTGTATAAATAGTTTTCACAAAACATGTAACTTGTTTTTTGAACTAATACACATCTCAAATTATTCACATATTGTTTCTTTTTTTAATTCGTTTTATTATTTGTAAATGTTTTTAGGCCTTCAGAACGTTAATGTAAGAATAAATGGAATAATGGCGCGCACTGTAGCTGTGATAGGAGCCGGGGCAAGTGGTCTTACTGCAATCAAATGCTGTCTTGATGAGGGTCTTGAACCCACGTGTTTCGAGAGGTCAGATTGTATTGGAGGATTGTGGCATTATTCAGAAAAGGTTGTATAATTCTAATTACTTCGATTTACATCTGGTTTTATATGCTTTGTATGTTTAAAGTGTGCTTGCTTTTCGTGTGTTTGCTTTTTTTAAAATTTGTTATGTGTGTGAGGCGGAAAAAAAGTAGTAACACACGCAATCCTTTTGCCTTTCGTCCCTCCAAAAACAAACTGTACAGAAGTCTTATTTAAATATTATTATTGCTGCCGGTAATTATTCCTGTAAACATAAATCAACCGAATGTATATATTTTTCACTAGGTAAAAGAAGGCCATACAACAGTAATGAGGAACACAATAGCCAACGTGAGCAAAGAATTTACGGCATATAGCGACTTCCCACCCCCGGTCACACAACCTATATACATGCACAACAAAGACTTTGAGGAATATTTAAAGTTGTATGCAAATAAATTCGACTTAAAGAAACATATTCAGCTTGAGAAAGAGGTATTTATTCACGTATATGTACGTACATTACATTTAACATATGTCAACAGCTTGCATGAATAGGCCACTTTCTGTCTGAATATCATCTGTTTTGAAATTAGCGTTGTCAAGTTAGCGATGTCAAGACGTAGTTTTCCAGAAAACCCGACGAGTGTATATTTAAATAACACGATGTGTGACGAAACAGACCGGGTTTTTACGATCTTTTAATGTAAATTGTATATAGATCTAGTTCATAAAGTCATGTCAGAGCATGTGCATTATTTCATGGTAACGTAACTACTGGGCTCGTGTTCTCGGTTACCAACACTCAAATTAATGATTTGCTTTTGGGGGAAAAATGTTGCTCGCTAAAGAATTGATGATACGCAAAGTGTATATGATAGGATCATACTAATATATATTGTTTTCTCAATAAGGTTAACATTGTTTCACTTTCTTTAAAACAATCGCCCATATTACATGTCACTGGTGGTATAAATTTAGTAAAGACGTTGATTTTATTAAGAACAGTCAATATTATAACTTTATTGTTTTACGTTCTTTGATTGTACAATTGTACAATTTTTATGTATTATGCTGTACACATTTAAGGTTGTTCGCATCTACGAAACAGATGATCACGAGGTCACAGGTCGTTGGAATGTAAAAGTGAAGGACATTTCCAGTAACAACGTTGATGTTTTCACATTTGATGCTGTCTTGATATGCACAGGAGTTTTTTCAGAGCCAAATATTCCCAAATATCCCGGTATATTTTTCATAAATTTTCTACCAACAATTGAAGTAGTGAGTTAAACTCTCTTTTCATATGCCGTTTTTTTTGTAATTATTTGAATTTATTTCTAATTAAGAGTTATTTGTTCTATTTTGACAAAGACACTTCAAATCTTGGACGTTTAGAACCATAACATATGTGATTATGTATTAAGTATTAAATATGATTAGCGATGTAAGCACGGACTTTTTTGATATTCTTCATCTTTAATTAATATGACAAACGATTGGTATTATGAAAATCAAGCTTGCCGTCAATAAAATTTACCTTTTATATGCAGAGTTCTTTTTTATAAAAAAAATGCGAACATATGACTGACATTTGATATTTTTTCAATTTATTTATGTGTAATAAAATTATAACCAAGGGTTGGACCAGTTTAAAGGAAAACTAATTCATACTCATGCATACAAGGATGCCCGTGGGTTCGACGATAAGAACGTGGTTGTTGTTGGTATTGGCAACTCGGCTATTGATGCCGCCTGCGACATAAGTCACGTGTCACGTCAGGTAATATACAGTTTTATTTCATGTTTGTGTGTGTATTACTGATTTATCCGTGAAATTTATATAAGATGATTTCATATTAAAAATAATCAAAATATAATTAAACACTTTTCAATGAAAAGTCTCCTTTTAAAACTATATACGTACATATTGTAACTGATAGAATATTGGATTCAACTAGGGAGACTCATTTTATATTTGTCAATCTAAAAAATTGTCATCCTATTATTTTAAACTATTTTATAAAATAATATAATCCATTGAGATATTGTTGTTGTTGTTTTTTTGTTTGTTTGGTTTTTTTTGTTTTTGTTTTTTTTTCTCTGAAATTAAATGCTAGTAGACTAAAACTATCCAATAGCTCATAGGGTTTGTATCATTGTGCCTATATACTTAACCATATTTTCAATATAAGATAAATCTTATCTTGCAGGTTTATGTCAGTTCTAGAAATGGAAGCTGGATTTTAGGACGTTTAAGTAAATATGGTCAGCCTATAGATATGACAATGATTTCACGTTTTATGTACACATTATTGACGTTCTTTCCTTCACTATTGAATAAACTTATGATGAAACAGTGCAATACCAAAATAGATCACTTTCAATATGGCATAAATCCAAAATACACACCAGCAAGATCTAGCTCCACCGTGAATGATCAACTGCCCTACATGTTACTTATTGGTGCAATCAAAATGAAACCAGATATAAAGTGTTTCTATGACAACGATATTGAATTCGTTGACGGTACACGCGTCAACAATGTTGACGCGGTTGTATTCGGGACGGGATATTTACCAAAATTTCCGTTTTTGGACACAAGTGTATTCGGAGAGGACAAGACGCAGCTCTATCTGACAATGTTCCCGCCAGACAGACAAAAACAGCAGACGATAGCCGTGATCGGCTGCTTCAGAATTAAAGGACCCCTGCTTCCAATTGCCGAGATGCAGTCACGCCTGGCGACCAGAGTCTTCAAGGTAAGTAATCCCAATATTTAGCATAAATAAACGAAAATATTTTCTGATTCTACTTTATGCTAATTTAAGAAGAATATGATATAGCAGCTCTAAAATAAGTTAACAAGTTTTCAATGTCTCGTGTGTACCCGTGTATGCATGTATGTACATGTATAGTTATATAAATGCCGTCAAAACATTATCAAAAAGCACTAATTTTGTTGAAGCTGACGCATTAACGGAAGTTTGAAGTATTTACCCATGAAAAATTTATTTAAAAGGAGTTTAATGATATTGATATGCAACGTCACTTACTTAGAATATTAAAATCGATTTCAGGGCAAAGTTTCACTTCCTAATCGTACAGTTATGTACAAAGATATTGAGAAACAGAAGTTATTGTCCAAGGAAAAGAGAGTGTATTCTCTTCAGGCGGTCTCGCAGTTGGATTTCTTCCCTTACATGGATCAGCTGGCTGGGATGATTGGCTGCAGGCCTAACTTCTGTATGTCTTGTGTAAAAAAATCATATAATTCTAAAGTTCCTTTACATTTTGAGGGGGAAACCCTTTATAAGGGAAAAATGCGTAATAGTCAAATATCAATGTAGTCATTTATAATTTTCTTTTTTGATAAAATTTAAAGCGCACTTTAATGAGGAATTAATTCCGCAATGCCTTTTTATTATTAATGATGTCGCATTTCATTCAGAAAAGAAGTGCTGTCATTGTCTACGTTTTTCCTTACAAACTAAGGGTTTATAGTAACACTTCTATAAAGGCCTAATTTTTGCCCCAGATAAGGTATCTAAAAAGTGACTCATCGGCCAATTAAATGAACCCCCTTCTTCTGTTTCTGTTTTGACAATAATTACACTTATAGTGATTTAGTTGATTTTTGTGTGGAAGTCAAAATACTACTCTGTTTACATTTTGCTACCTTCAAGACTAACTCTTTCATTCAGCGCTACTTTCTTCATGTAACAATTAAGCATCTAACATATTCTAAAACCATTATCTAAACGTTATAAAATTCACGTTTTGTCCATTCTATAAAGAAGTAAAAAAACAATCCGTTCCCGAGACATAATGTGCCTGTAACTCACAGTAATGTTTCATTCCAGGGAAGATGTTTCTCACAGATCTAGCATTGGCTGTTCAATGTGTATTTGGACCTGGGACCTCTTATCAATTTCGGCTCGTGGGTCCCGGTAGCTGGGCTGGTGCGAGGGAAGCTATTTTTACACAGTGGGATCGCACTTACTATACGCTATCAGAAGGGAAGCAGAAGACATTTAAGCCACGTCGACGAAATAAACTTAAATTATTTCTCTTTGTGTGTTTAGTGTCGGTCGTTTTTACAGCAATATACAAGTATGATGTATTTGAAATCTACAAGCAGTAAAATCCTTATACGTGAACAATGTGAACTGAAATGAGGGCAAGATTGGTGTGAAAATGTACATATTCATTTTATTATTTAATTAGTATAATTGTATCTGATTTATTAAAGAACATTTCAGTTTGATAATAGTTCACAGAAACATAGATTTGTGTGATTTTTCAGTAATTATGTATAGTGATGTTTAAAAGATACAAAATTTTAGCTGCAAGTCACGTTGACATTGCCTGCAGTCCGCTCAATATATCTTAAATGCAAACTAATCATTGAACTTTAACTGTGCCATAATATAGGATTTTGTGATTTTTTAAGGAAGACAAAAACAACATTACTTTTGAATACACGCATTTGTAAAAATATGTTCTAACTATGTAATAAAATTATTGTTTTATATAATATACATGTACTTTGTATGCATAAGGAATGTATTTCTTTCCATTACCTGAGTAAACGTTGGAAATTTAATACATATTTAAGTCTAGGTTTTAAGTCAGACCCACTGTTACCAAGATTATGATTTAAAGCTTTTGTTCTAGATATACTGATAATACATGTTTGATTCCCCACAAATATCCAATGTTCCTCCAGTGCGCGTGTATACACCTTGGCAGAAAGTCAGCACGTCAGCTTGATGGCTTACTGGCATAAAAAAGTCTTTGTCGACTTCAAATCTCGGGCTGCGATGTCGTTGACTTTATCCAAACACCGCATACAAAGTAGTTGATGAGAGTAGTGAATCAATTTTGGCCTTCATTATATGATATCTTTCAAAATAGCTTGTACATAACGGCTGGATACTGTCAGAATAAATGAAATAATATCGAACTGAAGAAAAGGGAAACTTTCAATAGCATTATTATATAGTGCTCACTTTTGAAGAATAAAATCTATATTTAAATATTCACTGGAAAAATGACAATTAATTGTCATAACAAAAAAGTATTTTATGAATTACAGCTTGTTATATAAGAACCTACTTTTCAACTAAAATAATATTGCTGGCGAGTACGGAACACGGACATGTCACCAGTCATGCCCTTAAAGAGTTAATTTTAGGTTTGAGAGATAATTTACTTCCATGCAAATTCCACAGAGTATTAGCCAAAAAACACGAATTCGGAGCCAAAAAAAGATCACTGTACGGCGGTCAATAAGAAACTAAGATGAGAAAAGGAGGTAGCCATCAAAAGGGTTGTTGGTGCCAAGCACGGTCTCCCTTTCAAGTCCGTCATTCGTACTAGTCATTCGTACTCGGGGCTCCCTAGTACACCATCCTCGTCGACTCTGCTTACTTTGTATGGCCACTCCCCTCGGCATTAGTCAGTACACCGGCAGCTCGGCCGCACTTCAAGTTCTGGTCTTTTTTCGCCTTCCCAAGTCTTCGAATTTCAAATCTTCTGCCGATGCCTTGTGCCTTGTACGTGCCTTCTCAGCGACATGCACACCCCGAGTGGAACTGAGACGGGAAAGAGATGAGAAAGTCTGATTGGGTGAAATGGCGTAACCACAACTAAATAGCAACAAAATATTGTTACCAAAAACAGACAAAAATGTCAATATGATACATGTAATATAAAACTACTGCTTATCATGGGTTCATTGAGTTATTCATGATGAGGAGGAGGAGGACGGCGACGACGACGACGACGACGACGATGATGATGAAAACAATACTTTAAGACATTAAGCAATATACCGTGATCCTTTAAGCATATATCAATGATAAGTAGAAGATAATACAAACACAATTAAAGTGTGCAAAAGGTTTTAAAAATACAAATTTTAATATGATACAACATGTGCCCATGAATATATCATCCAGTTTTTGTATTTTTAAAATTATTAGAAAACACATCTACCTCTAATTATTAGAACCATATAAATGCTAACCTCAGGCTGGCATTATAGTATAATTAATCCTTTAACCTTTTACCCCATGAGCATATATTGCGAAAAATGTCCGTTTTCATTGAAAAGCCTCCTGTAGCAAGTTCAAACTGTTATGAAACTATGAAAAATGCTTCAATACTCATGTAACTTGGCACAAATGTTGACTAGACCATAGCCTCTGTAACAGCATGCTCAGTCGTAAATTTCCTGTTACCATGGCAACGGGGGACGTCTCAAAATTGCCAAAAATCACTATTTTGCATTGTTTTTCCCCCCATCAAAGCTGATTTCAAAGTGCTGCAACTTCTCAATGAATTGAGATAGAGTAAAGGGCTTTTCAGCGACGGTTACTAGTTACCCTAAGATTGACCTGAGGCCATTTTTAGCCTGTCACATGTCCAAAATTTTCTTGACGATGAGGGGGACTACCGACCCCTTCAAACCCCCCAAGCAGAAGGGGGCACATCCCCCTTCTGGCAACCCCCTGATAAAACATTTTGATGGGGGCGGCGGCGAAATAGTGGTCACTTTTTTAACAACATTTCTCAAACGAAAAACAGTGTTTGAGGCCTAAATAGGCCTTTTTTTTCACTGTTTGATGCCTCAAAAAAAAGGGGGGGGGGCAAAAAGCCGTCAAAACACGCTTCTATTAGGGAAAAGGTTTACACAAAGAATGATGAAAAACATTGGAATCACCCGAAAACTAGTTTTTCCATGTTAACACGTGTCCTTACACCTAATTTTGGTGAAAAATTGTTGTTTTTTGACATTTTTTTTTAATTAAGAGAAAATTAATGAACATTTAATTTTGTCCATTAAGAGAGTTAACTGTAAAATGAAACACAATCACAACTTCTTTGCCCTTTCCGTTGCACCTCGAACATAGTCAGAATGCACAGAACGGATATGGTACAGTTAGTATAGGCAGTCCGAATCACCTTATGAAAAGCGTTATTTTTATGCCCCCGAAGGACGGCGTATACATGTATTGTAATCGCATTGTCCGTCCGATAATTTGTCCGCGCTTCATCTCCAAAACCGCCGGGACGATTTCAGTGAAACTTAACAGGATTGTTTGTAACCATGCCTAGTTGTGATTAGTATCTTGATTTTCCGCTTTCATTTTTTTGGCACAGTTATGGCCCCTTAATGGTATTTTTTTAGTAAAACGCTTTATCACCAAACTGATGGGGAATTTAAGTGAAACTTGACAGGATTGTTTGTCACCAAGCCTAGTTGTGCATAATCTCTTGATATTCGGCTTGAATTTTTGGCACAGTTATGGCCCCTTAATGGTCAATTTTTGAGTAAAATAAGCTTGTCCGCGCTTCATCACCAAAACCACCGGGGGAATTTCAGTGAAAATTCATAGGACTTTTTTCGCCAAGCCTAGTTGTGCATACTCTCTTGATATTCCGCTTGAATTTTTGGGGAACAGTTATGGCCCCTAAATGGTCTATTTTTTAGTAAAAAAGGCTTGTCTAAGCTACATCTCCAAAACCGTTGGGGGATTTCAGTGAAACTACACAGAATTGCTTGTCACCAAGCCCAGTTGCGCATATTTTCTTGATTTTCTGCTTGAATTTTTTGGCACAGTTATGGTCCCTTAATGGTCTATTTTCGAGTGAAATAAGCTTGTCCAAGCTACATCTCCAAAACCACTGGAAGGGGGGAATTTACTGAAACTTCACAGGATTGTTTCACACCATGCCTAGTTGTGCATAGCTTCTTGATTTTGCCTTTAATTAATTGTGGCACAGTTACGGTCTCTTTATGGTCATTTTCGAGTTATAACATTAATAACATTGTTTGCATGGTGTCATGATTTTCCAAGCCTAGTTGTACATTGTGCCATGATTTTGTGTATGAATTTATTTTCGCACAGTTATAGGCCCTTAATGGTTTTTGTTTTGTTTTGTTTGTTTGTTTTTTTTGTAAAATTTGTTAAGATAATTTTCCTACACTTCTGTGAAATTTTAGTAATGATATTTATCAAAGGCGGTCGCACATAATTATATTAACAGTATATATTGCGGATTTTATGTCAAAGCTTCCAGTCACTTTTCAATGATAGCTCTTGTTTTAGAATATTTTTCAAGTTCTTTTGGCTCAAGTATTCAAATGACATAATCTGAAAGTAACTGGTGTCATTTCATTACATTGCTTCGGCGAAATTTACTTCGTGCTAAGCGCAACTCTTAAACATTACATGAATGTAAGTCTTTATAATTATCAACTCATTCAATTTTGTCTTAATTATCATTAGTAATCGCCAATATTTCACAATATGGAGCATTTTGTTATTAATGAAAAAATTTAATTATGGATAAAACAGCCTTTCTCATTTTTTTTTATCAGTTAGGTTAAAATTCACTTTTGTATTACTACGTCAATGAATTTAGGTTCGTTTTTGGTGCCTTTTAGTTACAGTTTTCGTCAAGACACGTACATAGACGGTTGTTTCTTCAAATTTATTCAAAAATGTTTGTATTGGATCCATCACATTTGCTAGGGCTCTTTCACATTGCCGGTGGCTCCATTTTCATCCAAAATGATGAGAAAAATGTTCTTGGCATAGAATTCTTCGGTTTTTGAAAAACAAGCATTTTTCCTATTAAACAGATCACCAAAATGTGAAAAAGTCACTGTTTAGTAGGGGTGTACTTGTGTTATTATGCCCCCCCCCCCCATTCAAAGAAATGGGAGTATTTTGCTTTGCATTTGTATGTCGGTCGGTCCGTAGACCAAAAGGTTTCCTATCAATAACTAAAGAAAGTACATTCTATTCTGATATAACGAAATAGGATCAGAGATATATACATGCTGGTGTTAATTTATTCATCGCTTTCAGAAAAATAATCACATCTAGATGAAAAAGATCGATAGCCATTTTAGATTTTGTAACATTTCAAAAGAATTGGTTTTCACGGGTTTCTTTTAAATGATTCTGGAAATTCTTTCTTGTAATTTCATTATTCTATTTAGGCCTCATTTCTTACTATGGGACCATATATAATATATATAATACATCCATAATCAAAAGTAGGGGCTATGTAAGCGTTATAAAATAATTGTTACAAATATTTTTCTAGCTTAATGGCCTTATTATTGAGAGTGTAGCATTCCTGTATTTTTAATTAGTCTAGCTGCTAAATGTTTATGACAGATAATTTATATTTACTCGCTCCTTTCGGACCTACTGTACTGTATGAATTCCATCCCGACTGAAGAAGTATGTTGAAATTTGCCCATCTCCGTAGACAAGATGGATCATAGCAGAGTTCTGTTTGAAAGACCCTGTACAGGCATAGAGATCTATTTCAAGATTTACGTTTTGGCATGGAGCTAAATATCTGTGGTTTTAGGCATTTTAAAAATGAATGGTAAAATATGTTAAATATTTATGATGAATAAAAATATTTAGTTATCTTCAACCGGTTGTTGGAAACGGGAACCAAAGTAGAAAAGGAACCAGTCCGAAAGGAAAAGAAGTCGCCATTTTTACAAAGTTTGACTATTTTTGACAATTTTCCCGTTGTATAGAGACAACAAAGTATAAAACTGAGTTTTTGTTTATCTTCTAATTTGAAACTACGATACAAGATCAAAATGTCTTACGATCGAGTTGATTACTCGGACAAAGCACATTTCAGTTCACCTTCGGATGAGCACCACTACTCGGATGACCCAGTGAGAAATGGTACTAGGAATGGAAATGGCATATACAATGACTATACAGTAGAACTCAAACCAAAACCATACAGAAATTCAATTAAAGTTCTTTGTTGTGAGTGTAAAAACACAAAGCGTGTTAAATTTATAATGGCAGGGGCTGTTGTTGTGTTTCTGCTGGCACTCATCTTGATCATTATTTCAGCTATTGCTCACCATAAACAACAGCAGGCCAACAAGGGATCCCCAGCATATGGTAAGTGTGGCTGTCATCCAGTTACAATCAGAAAAAAAGCTCTTGTACTGACAGGAGATGAAATCCAAAACCTCTTATTTTCCCTAGTGGTTACCTAATATGGTATTTTTTTATCATAATTTACTGGGCAGAAACCAGTTTCCGGACAATACCAGTTTCCAGACAAGTATTATAACGGCTTAATTTTGGCTTTATCGATGACGATCGGTATTATATGTCATGAAGATGCATGTTTTGATTGTTTGAGAAAATAAACTTCCTTCCAAGTTGATACATCATTAAAATTTCGTGAGGATATCTGAAAACAGCCTTATATCCCTTTGGGGCATGTTATTTGTTCTGCGCATGTGCAATATTTTGTTTATTTCGGGATATAATTTGGGGTAGCAATTAATGCACAATGTACTTCATTCGAAGTTCATTGGGTGTAATTCCCCAGAGCTAAATCTGTAACGTATCGGAAAACGGTGTTTAGCTAGGTTTACTCCACTTTCGCACTTCGTTGCTGCCGTACACACAAAAATATCCGTTTCACTTTTCAGTCATTACGAGACCCATCACGTGATCGTTATTTTCCTATCATAAAACATTTTTTCAGTAAATCAGCTTAATTATATAAGAAAGCTAATATGTGAGAAGAAATTTTTTGTTATATTAGAATAATTATCAGTTAAAAACAGATATGAATAACAGCTTAATATATGTCCGGAAACTGGTTCTGCAAGAGTGAACAATTTACACTTTTGATGACCTAATTTAACCCTTCTGTTTGCACATTGCTTACGTCACCAGGCAGTATTAATTGTGTTATCGGACGTATTTAGAGCTCAGGTTTTTAGTATGTTAATTTTATTAATGCATGTTTATTATATAAAAAAGACAATTCAAAAAAGTCGAATTCTGTCCGGAAACTGGTTCCTGTCCAGTACAGTAAGCTATGAAATTAGTAAATTTTATTTTGAACTTGCTTGGTAAACTGTAATTTATTTTTATGTTTCTAACTTTCTGCATAGGAATCCAAATGTTAAGTTTGCTCTCGGATGTCCTTTTTATGTTGGCATCCCATTAAAGATTATCTAAGATAGTTAAAGGGTTTACCAAACATTAAGGCTAAGATTTGAAGTGGCTTAGCCTTATACCTACATGTATTATTGTTACAAGACTAATGAATAAATGGAAGCCAGACAACTCCATGTATGAAATTAAGAAGTAAAAAAAATCTTGAAATATGAACAGGCATGGAGACTGAAATATGGAACGCTTGATTAATTGACAGACAATTCACCACTTTGCTAAAGGGTAAACCCAACAGAAAGTTTTTAAGGAAGTTGCTTGTAACCACATGATACATTGCATATAATCACTAAATTAATATGTTTTAACAAGATTCATTTGTGTGAATAATAGTCACATGCATCTATTCAATTTGTTCCTTGCAAATGTCGAAGTTTGGTCTAAATGTCATTAACAGACTCGGTCAATAAATTCGCCATATTTTTCAGGGCTGTTTGCATATGGTCCAGATAAGAATGGTTTGATAAGCTTCAGTCCACGTGATCATATGACATACATGAATTACTTCAACAGACTTGAATCAAGTCTTGCAGGTTTGTATAGAACAGGAGTAAGAGTTTTATGAAATACAAGTGTTAGTAACTAACCAGTCAGATTTTTGCTATAAAAGTTACAGATCTATAACAAGTAAATTTGCAGATATCCAAGTGTGGTTTTTTTTTAGAATTGTAATACAGCAGGCTTTCAAGTTGACATTATATTGTCTGCATTTTGTTATCCGGTGCCAATGGAAAATGTTGAAATGTTTACTACTTCACTAAACAAAACTAAAAACTTCTGAACTTACTCATCATGAAAGCCTGATAGACATAGTTTAAAGCACCTTAAACAATTTAAAGAAAAGCTTCTGTATTTGTCATGTCCAATATGACTAATACAGATATTATATAGCTGTATAAAAACCCAACAGAAAGAAAAACTACTTTTCTTCAAAGTGTGATCCCGAATAACATTGTAATATAATTGCATTTTTCGAAGGTATAGTTCAGATATGAGGAAGTTTATAATGTTAAAAAGTTCCTCACCAGATTTTACGAGAATATATCCCACTTTGCACTTCCATGCCTCATGAGATCCTTGCATAGCAAAATCCATTCAAGTTAAATACGTTGCCAATCAAGATTCTCCTACAATATAATAACTAGTAATAATAAAGTTATTAATTTTTTATTGATATATTTAACAGACTACAGCACTCTGAGACAATCAGCAAACCTAGACAGGTACATACATTGTGATGATAATACTACTAAAGTACCACACGGTAAAGTTTGCATGCTGACCATGGAAAAATTTGGAGATAATTGCCAACATTTTGACATGTATGGTATCAACGAGGAGCGACCTTGCGTTCTGCTGGTTTTGAAACCTGTAAGTTTGTTACTGTTTCATTTTAATTTTCTTATCCGCCATCTTTTAAAATGTTATTCGTGTACAACTTGAACTGCGCATTTTGCAAAAATCCCTACCAGATATGTTTTTGGGGCTATATTTCTTATCCATCTTTGTTCTTCAAAATATTAGAACCAGTACAAGCATTAACTTGAAACTTAATATGTGAACAGTTGCTAGCTCAATAGGCTATATCACACAAATGCTTTTAATTCCATTTTGTCATAGTCATGTTCCTTTTAGATTTACATTCTCACAAAAATCTATTAAACTAGTGTGGCTGTGTTGCTTATTTAGAATCATTCAAGTACATTTTTTGAAGAACATTTGGAAAGAAATGGGGACTATTAAAATTCAGAATCTGACCCGCAAGTTTGAGACCACTAAATTTCACCATAACTTTGTATATAAACAGATTATGGATGGGGGTGAGGATTTATAAAGAAAGTATATTAAAAAAGTTATTGTTATTCAACATATTTTACAGGATGATAACATCACACCTCAGCCATTTGACTTCACTGATGGTAAAAATGCTGATATAAAGGAGAAGATTGGGGATAGGTTCTCCAGTAAGAGTGTAGCTGTGAGTTGTGAGGGGAAGGTTAGTTTATCAATCAATCGTTGTCAATCTGCTTAAAAAAAATAAACCTTATTTAATATTGATAAACATGTATTACCGGTATATGTAAAAAAGCTATTTATCCACAAAATATAGAAAGATTATGAAGATAGCAAGTAAGCAGCTCTAGAAGAAAGATGACTCAATTAATCCTTAAACTGCCTGCTGAACTTGTGCAATTGCTTTACCCAGCTTTGAATTTGGAACAGTTCATTCAAGTATTTAGGGATTTCAGTGTAGAAATACAAGAACAGAGGTACCAACAGTATCAAGCCTGGTCAGACTGTACTGACCTGCAGGTTACCTACTGGTGACAAAGGCTATTCAATTTCAGTTCGAGCAGTTTAAGGTTAAGATGCTTCTTGTGATCAGAAATGCCTCTGGTTTTATTATTTGCAGCTTTGACCTGCAGGATAAGTGTTAGGGTTATTTCTCTTTGTGAAGGGGTATCAGAGAAACCACATTGAACTTCGTGCAACTGTGAATTTCATGAAAAATTGTTTTATATTTATAAAAAGAAATTTATGCTACTTTTCTTCATCTTTATAACATTGACATTGTATCTTCGCGTTAAGGTCGTTGACTTCAAACCACTTGCCCCTCACCGCTGTGGATTCTTTCATGTGAGGAAGCTATCCAGCTAGCTTACGGAACGTCGGTGGTTCTACTCAGGTGCCCATTCGTGCCTGAAATAATGCACGGAAGGGCACCTGAGGTCTTCCTCCACCAGTAAAGCTGAAACGTCGCGATATGACCTATACTGTGTCGATGTGACGTAAAACCCAAAACAAACAAACAAACATTGTATCTTCTTTAGTAAGATAGACATTGCATCTTCTTAATAATGTTTAAACATATTGCTGTAATTATTACTACATGTATGGTTTTGATAAAAATCTTTAAGCTTGAGTCCATTTCCTGGAAATAACAAGCACTGACATTGTTTGGAGGCATGTTAGATGTAAGAAAAGTTCAAACAATGATTCTCTAAGTTAAGAAGCAGACATGTTAATTATAATGCTACTTCTTATCATGTTATGTAAATCACTTTGGAGTTTAAAGACAAGAATTATCAAAGACTATCTACTAGGAATGTTTCGTATTAATGTTGCAGTTGTTTTCTCCTATTTCTACAGACAGCCAAAGATCAAGCTCTAATGATGAGAGATAATTACACGGCTATGGTTGATTATAATCCTCCAAAAGGTTTTCCCTTGTTTTACTTCCTGGAGAGAGAGGCAGATGGCTACTTGTACCCGGCAGTGATGGTTCAGTTCAACACAGTCCCACCAAACACTCAGGTTAACATTGTTTGTACAGCGTGGGCAAAAAATTTTAACAACGGTCAGCCACAGAGCAGTCAGAAATACTCCACAGAGTTTGCTATCCTCTTGAAATAATAATACATGAAATATCAACTCCTTTCAGTCAGAAAGGCAAATAAGTGTTGTTTATAAAATGCTGATAAGCCTTTCTGGCTGTGATGTAATTGCTGCTCATTAGGATTTTCACATTCCAAACATGCCCAATACTTGACATTTTGAACTAATGAAATATGTACATGGATGGGTATATGAGAATTGATCCTAATTTTTCATAAACATTCCATTTATATTTTTTCATTGTAAATTTGTTTTTTTCATTATCTGAAAAAATTCAAAAATTTATGTAAAGGAAAGGTTGTTAAAATTTTAATGATTTAAAAAGGAAAATACATATCTTTGTTATATAATTTGTTGCGAATTTTGAGCTTGATTATTTGGAGAAAAGTAGGGCTATCCTACAAACACAGACTTTAAATGTAACACTTTGGTTTAAGTTTTATATGCCACTTATTTGTACAGCATATTATATCTCATCAACCATTCATGGTTTTGCTTTATACACGTAATTTTGAGATCATTATACACTATCATAGTTCCATATCACTTGACATGGATTATGACTGAATTATGGCCAAAACTACTGAGGGTAATTACTTGAATCTTAATGCATGTTTTTGTGACTGTAACTGGATGTTACTATCACTTTGACATACTTGTAGATTTTGACTGAATTATGGCCATTTGTGAACTTGAAAATTCTTGAATAAAGTTAAGAAATTTACTTGAAACTTAATTTCATGCCTTTGTGACCATATCTGATAGCTCTGATATGCATATTGGCTTAATTTATGAAAATTAAAAAATTCTTACAGTGTTTAAGCTTTTGCATTCAAAACTACTAAAGATATTCATTTGAAACCAGGATTTTGATTGATAGATGGTCCTTTATCAAATTACAAAATTATTTAGGCAATATTTAAGACTCATAATTATGACATGTATTTTATTATAATGAAATCCTTCTCTAAAAATGTTAAGTATTATATTATGCAGACTATTGTTTTACTATCAAGCACTGAGAATAGTTGAGCATGCTGTTGTACTGGCAGTTCTTGTTTCTTAATGTACCGGTACATTGTTAAATTGTTATAGTTTTTTCTATAATGATTCATATATTTTCATGGTTGTGACTTTTATACTGTTGTTATATGAAATATATCCTATTTCAGAGCTACACAATTAGAATGAGAAATAGATGTAGGACTTCTGTATTGAGTCAGTGAGATTAAGGTTTTGCGTTTTTATAGAATCTTAAGTTATAAGTGGCTTAATCTTTATAGTGGACTTGTCTTGATTTGAAAATCAAAACGGTCTGTTATTTATGTGAGAGATCTTTGTATAAAAAAATCTGTTTATAGTGTGTTAAAATTGGATATGCAAGCTGATATTGCTTATACACTGGTTTCATAGTCAAAATTAAGTTGGCTTTCAGACTTTCACTTGCCCTTCACTGGTGTAGGTTTGAGTCCTGTCAGGGTAATTGGATTCTTTCAGGTGAGGTAGCTCTTCTCAGGTGCCAGTTTGTGCCTGAAATAATTCATGAACAGGCACCTGAGGTCTTCCTTCTTCATTAAAGCTGGAAAGTCGCCGTGTGACCTTTGCAGTATCTGTGTGACTTGCATTCAAACAAAACAAACATACAAAATTTGAGCTTCGTCACGACAAAACCAAAAGACTGCGCGGATGGGCAGGCTGGTCTGGATCCATGCTGGTTGCAAACCCATTATGTTGGTTTTGTTGTGACGCGGCTCACATATTCATATTCGCATGTCTATTCTAACTACCTGATTTTATATGCACTATAAAAGTTCTTCTACTGCTAGCTCAATGCAGCAGTTTTATTTTGGCCCTAGGGGATATGTGAAAATTTGCTGTGCAAGGACATTCTTGTTGACTTTTACTTTACAAGGTCCCTGCAGAACTAGGATTTACCTTGGGCATGAAAATCAAAAAGTCCCCACTATTTTCTCTCTGGGGGTGACCTAATTACAATTGAATGGAGCCTTACCTTGCACATGACTTTTGTTTCATCTGTCAGACTATCTATACAATATTAAAGTGTAAGGGTGAAGTTTGAAGTACTTCAAAGAAGTTATAGTACAGTGAAGAAATTTTATAAATGCATTGGTTACTTAATCTCAAAGCTAAAACTGTTAGTGTACAGTTCACTAGTCAACCAGTAGTATGCGAATAATTGTTGTATATACATTCTGTTTATAATATAACACTTTATGTTAAATGTGCTATACTTTCCAGTATACTTAATATGCTAATCCTTGAAGAAATTTTGATTTAATTAATGCATATCTAAATTTTATTTGTTTCTTGTATGATTAAAATGTATGATTTTTTCATAATGGTTATATATGAAATACTTTGCTGTTAAATAGACTTTCAGATTTAAGTCAGTTTGTTTGCTTGAATTTCCTTCATGCAATTTTATCTGTATGTATCACATGTATAACTAGTTAAGATAAATCATGTAAAAAAATGTACCAAAAGGAAAGATTTGTTGAAAAAAGGGCTTTTATATTCCTTGCTTTTCCCTTTATAAACATAGATTATACAGGATATTTGTTTACTATTATGTATGTTTTCTCTCTGAAAACTTGACCATGTCTGAACATAAATTTCATATCATAATTTTTTTGCCAGAATATGTGGGTCTGCTAATAACTGACAGCTTGTTTAAAGCATTGAAAATTTATTCCCAGTTGTATGATAAGATTCTTTTGTCATTCAAAACCTGCAAAATTATGTGAAATCTGTCAGTAATACTTCATACCTAAGATCAAAAAATGTTTTAGAATCTCACTTGTTTTGTACAAAACAATACAAATGTATATGTTATTTTGATTCATGCATAATGGAATAATCTTCAAGTAAACCTATATTTAGTTAAATATGTACAAAAGTTGACTTACATGACTAGTACAGTATCAAAAAGTAGCTTCCATAATCAATCTAAAGTGGAAAATTATATTATATGCTGAACTGGATTTTGTTGTGATTACGCTTTTGAAATGGACTATTTTATGTTTATTCCTTTTCAGACTGTTATATTTCATTCCACTTTATTTTTGTTCATCAACTATAGAGAAATAAACATTTGTCTTACTGGATTTGGATTTTGGATAATAATTGTTAATTGCTATACTTTTTTGTGGTACTTAGTACATTATATAACTGTTAGGGTCATGCTGTTTAAATTAGTATTGTATGATATGTTAATATAATATAATAGACCAAAGCCAATTTCCTTCAAGTGGTTGTGAACTGTTTGTTTAGTTGTGAACTCTCATTTTTCTTCAATTGTGAACTGTTGTTTTCCTTGAGATGTGAACTGTTGTTAAATGGGTTGTAGTTTTTTTTTCTTTAAGCACACAAGCATAGTAATAATATTGTACATAATTATACACTGATAAAGAATTTATTTGAGCCGTGTCATGACAAAACCAACATAATGGGTTTGCGACCAGCATGGATCCAGACCAGCCTGCGCATCTGCGCAGTCAGGATGCGCAGTCGGATCAGGATCCATGCTGTTCGCTATCAGTTTCTTTACTTGTTATAGGGTTGGTAAGCGAACAGCATGGATCCTGATCAGACTGCGCGGATGCACAGGCTGGTCTGGATCCATGCTGGTCGCAAACCCATTATGTTGGTTTTGTCGTGACGTGGCTCATTTGTGTTAATGAATCAAGGATATTTTATATAATGTTACATGATGTAGTAGAAAATACATGTATATCCACTGTTAACATTTACAATAACTTGCTACTGCAAGAGAATTATAAATTTTTAAGGTATTACAAAATGGCCAGTGTCACCTTAAATGCAGGGAAGAAAATAAATGGATAACTTGTTAAATGGAGGTATGATAATAATTATAATTGTTTGAAGTGGCCATTGGATAAGACTTATCTGAATTGATGCATCATCTAAATGTAGGAACGTGTTAAAATGGACCTTGTACTTCGTATTTTGAAATGTTTGAATTTGTTTGTTAGCGCTGTAAATAGAGGCTTTAACTCAAGAACCATTCCAATAGATTGTGATATTTGTGCCTTATATCGGACCAGCATAACTTTATATATTTTAATATGTCAAGGAAATTTTATTTTTATGTCTTTGTGCAGATTTAAATGGATTTGATTAGCTATAATTACCAGTAATGTAAGTGATCATAAAATCTTAATTTTACTGGAAAATAGATTTTATAGAAATCTGGCCCCTTTTCACTGTTTAGGGTACCTGTAAGTATTTCTTATTTACAGATACATGTATGTTTCTATTAATGTCTTTATTTGTTACTATTGATAACATTGTAAAACAGAATCATTATATACAGTTTCTATATATCACAGTATCATTATATAGTACAAGATACTACTACACCTCATTGCTTATAATATTTGTTCTGTTATATAGGATTATAAATTTACTGGAAAACTATCAGTTGTGAACAATATTTTTTTTATAAAAAAAAGCATTTTTTTTGTAATTTTTAACATATTTTTAAAGAAAACATATGTCTGGTAATTTATTTCACAATCTTTTAGTTACCTTTAACAAAATATAAATAATATCAATATTATTGTTTAATTATACATGTAATACATCATGTGTAACTATTCATTTAATATATTTATTCACATATCAAGTTTTTACTAAATGTATCTATTTGTAAGTCATATGTAATTTATAACAGCATGTACATTTCATGTGTTGAGATATGTGCCAGCATCTAGAGACTTTCATGCAGATATCTTTCTAGCTAGCTTAAGTAACGTCTGTGGTTATTGTCAGGTGCGGTTGATTCCTGGAATAATGCAAGGAGTGACACCGGAGGTCTTCTACCACTAGTCAAGCTATAATCTATAATTATACAGTTTTATTGTGTTGGTTGAATGTATAACCCAACCAAAAACTCATTCATAGAGCTTAGATATTTGGTATATACATGTAGCTTTGCCCATGAACTTAATGAATAATGGCTGAAGTAGTGAGAAACAGTCCCAAGGACCTATTTCTACATGGAAGATTAATGATCTTTCTTAGCAACGGATCTCTTCTGAGAAATGTAGAATATCATGACCTTCTTTAAAGAGTTTTAATTCATTGACAGGCACTTTACTGTTTAGTTTTGTATATTAAAGCATCAGTTAAGTTTTAACAGATTTGCAGACTTAAATTTATATTGCTTATAAATAATTGATTGAGTTTAGGGCATCATTATTTTGATGTATCTCGCTTGTTGATTTCACAGAGTTAAAAATGATGATCCCTTAGTAAGTGATACCTTGTTACCAGCATTAAATGTTTACCCTGGTTATTGGTTGAAATGTTTAAACAGTGACATATCACTACTTTTGAACTGTGTTCTTCGTTGTTTTTGTTATTTCTTATATAAAGTTGATTTTGTAATATTTACCATTATTAAGAAATGAATAATAATTTATGTATTTTTGAAGAAAAAAAATGAAAATGATTATAACTGTTGTAAAGCTATTGTTAGATAGTAAAGTTCAAATTCAGTGCAATACTGTTGTATCTGGACAATCAGGTTTATTCATAGTTACAACAGTGTTGCATTGAGCATCGTAGTTTCTTATGTTAATTATGTGAAGTATAAGGCAATCATTCCATTGGTTATTTTTGTGATATTTTTGAAATTCTGTAGACAAATAATCATATTGTGTTTTTACAACCTGTTGTTTAAGCATGCATTATACTGTATATTATCTATTTCGGACAAAAAGTAAACATTTTTTTTCCTCAAGCACTGACTGTGGGTGGAACTCCAAATATCTGGATTTCTAGGTGGACACTCGACCATATCAAGAAAAGGTTAACTCAGTAGTAAGGCTGTAAGAAATGGTAGAGACCTGTAGTCACTAAAGGTATATGTCCATACACATACAGAAATTTACGTTCAACTATAGCATTATTTGAAAATTATTGAGATACTTGAAGCTATTCTATATCATGTCACATTATTTGTTCGATGATTATTTCCATCCCTTTTATTTAATGAATTGTCTGTAAGTAATTGATTAACTTTTCCGTAAGTGCCAGGTCATTACAAAGGGGTTATTAAAAAGAAAGTTTTTGTTTTGTTTTTATTTGTACAGTCACATTTTCTGATGATCTTCTCAGCAATCTGCAATGATTCATACATAATTTCTGTCGCTTCACATTCCATCATAGGTTTAGTATAAGCACGAGAATTTTCACTTTGTCACAACATTATTAGTAATAATGTTTCATGTATACACCTTTTTGAATATGAGACTGTAACCTAATAGTATACACAAGTACATATTAAGTCATCATTAACATAATACATGAGCAATATCATTACTTACATATACCTTGTATTAGCAGTTGCTTCCCATCTTAGCTTTCCAAGTTACAACCAACAATACCAGATCTTCAAATGTAAGCTAAAACTAAAACATCTTTTTATCAGGTAGAAACACACCTCTTTATGAAGGTATATGATTGATAAAAGTTTCAGTTTACTGTAGAAAAAAACTTAATATTACACTCTGGTTTACAAACCCTTGTATATCATATCATATCATGCTTTTATATTTTGTATTGTGCCTTTTGTTAGTACAATTGATATATATTTCACTGCTAGATCATGATAAAGGATAAATTCTGTACGTTTGTTATTATTTTTTGAGGCCCCACTAATGCCCTATTATTAAGTTAATAATTTAGACACCAATTTTTTAGAAGAAAATGAAATCTTATCTCTACAAATAACCTTCCAGACAAGATTAATATGTAATATGTTTGGTACACCTGTGCCCCCTAATTATCACAAAACTCCAGGTCAAGGTCATCCAGACATTGGAGAAAATCCCACAAAAATAATGAAAACTTAGCAGATAGTTCATGATAACCGACTCTCGTTTCAGCTCACCTGTCATGAGCTTTTGTGATGGCTTTTCATCCGGTGTCCGGCCATTAACTTTTACATTAAACAACATCTCTTCATAAAACGCTTAGCCAATTTCATCTAAACTTCACAGAAATGTTCCTTTCGTAGTCACTTTTAAAAATTATTCAATGAATTAGATTCCAAGCAGAACTCTGGTTTCTGGTTGCCATGGCAACCAAAAGAGGTTGCCATGGCAACCAAAAGAAAAACTTAAAATCTCTTCTTTTAAAAAACCCAAAGAACTAGAGCTTATATATTTAGCATGAAACATCTTCTAATGGGTGTCTACCAAGATTATTCAAGTAAAAGCCCTGGAGTCTAAAGTTGCCCCACCCTGGGGGGTCATTGATTTTCCTTATATGTACATAGTAAAAACTTAAAAAATCTTTTAAAAAACCCAAAGAGCTGGAGCTTAGATATTAAGCATGAAAAAATCTTATGTGTGTCTACCAAGTTTGTTCAAATAAAAGCCTTAGAGTCAAAATTGGTCCTGCCCAAGGGGGTTATTGATTTTCCTTATACATTGTACGGTGTATGTAAAAAGTAAAAACATCTAACAAACCCAAAGAGCTAGAGCTTAGATATCAATTATGATAAATCTTCTGATGTGTGTCTACCAAGTTTGTTCCAGTAAAAGCCCTGAAACTCATTTCATACTTAAATGTCCTAAAATTGACACCTTTAGAAGCATTTACCTTAAAGAATGTGCTGATTTATGTAAAAACTTTGCTTAACTCTCAATTGTATAAATGGTCATTTTTAGTTAAGCACTGTAATTTATACAGTACAACAATAAAAAGAACCTCATGTCCTTTTTAGCTCGACTTTTCTATGAAAAGGGGAGCTATCCTACTCGCCCCGGCGTCGGCGTCGGCGTTGGCGTCACACCTTGGTTAAGTTTTTCGTACCACCCCACTTTATTTCAGAAGTATTACAAGTTTGGCTTTGAAACTTACCATACTTGTTCACCATCATAACCTCCATCTACAGACAAGAGTACATAACTCTGTCAAGGTTTTTGACAGAATTATGGCCTTTTTTGACTTAGAAAGTGTATTGAGCTTGGTTAAGTTTTTTGTACCACCTCACTTTATTTCAAAACCATTGGAGGTATTGCTTTGAAACTGACCATACTTGTTTACCATCACGACCTTCATCAACAGACAAGAGGACATAACTCTGTCAAGGTTTTTGACAGAATTATGCCCCTTTTTGACTTAGAAAATACATTGAATATGGGTAAAATCCACTTATTGCCTTAACCCTTTGAGATATTGCTTTGAAACTTTTAATGCTATTTCACATCATTACCCCCATCTGTACGCAAGAGAAGGTAACTCTGTCAAGGATTTGTTTTAAAAATTAAGGCCTTTTATCGACTTAGAATCTTGGTTAAGTTTTTAGTACCAGTCCACTTTTTGACTGAACTGTTTGAGATATTAATTTGAAAGTTGGAATACTTGTTTACAATCATGATTCCCAAACATGTCCAGGAGAAGGTAATTCTGTCAAAGATTTTATTTGAATTATGGCCCTTAACTGTCAATGTTTTGTATTATAGGCAAGCACTAAAAAACTTAAAAAATCTAAAAAAATTCATTCCTATCCACTTGTTCACTTTACCATAAATTATGTCATATAAACATTGCTGTAATATTCAAGGGTATCAAACAACTAGTTCACTTTAAAAATACAGAGATTCTTGTATTGCCTTTTACTGCAAAAACTTTTTTTATTGGCAAGCAATAAAAAAGTCGAGCGCGCTGTCTTACGGACAGCTCTTGTTTAATTGTGTTATCAAATCAGAATTAGCTTATGTTATCTTATTGTTATGTTTATGTACATTTACATTTAATGTACTGATATATATTCTATGTAATTGTATGCCTGAGAAGGCCCATGATTGGAAATAAACACTATTCTATTCTACCCAAAAAGTGGGGGCACAAAAAGATAGAAAAAACTGTTAATAATCATCAACATTTTGTCATGTTAATGTTGTCGTTGTCATTAAATTTGCAATTTGTGGTAGTATAGATAATACAGCTAGTTTGCCGCTATAAAATTTTACCAACAATCTGGTTGCAGTTCAATGACCATAATGAATAAAAATATTTAGTTGTTTTCAACCTAAGGAAAGAAGGAAGTTTAAAAGAAAACCAGTTTAAAAGAAAACTTGAGTTGTGTATTGAATTATTTGATAAACCGAAACAAGATGAAAATGTTTTACGATCAAGTTGATAAAGCACATTTCAAGGAATTTATGGTGGGAATCAAGCCAAATCATTATGAGAGTACAAACACAAAACGTGTTAGATTCATAATAGCAGGGGCTATGGTAATGTTTCTAATGGTACTCATTCTGATTATTACATGTGTCTATCTATCTCTGAATTCTGCCTCCCAGTCAGATATTGCTCACCAGAAACAACAGGAAAACACTGTCGAGTTCACCCCAGGTAATGTTTCAACTTGTTTCTCCATCATAACATACACTTAAATTTTGTGAATCTAAATTATAGATCTAATATGTCTGGTTTTAGAGAAGTATTTACCTGATACATGTCTTATTAACATAATTATACTTCCACAAATGAAGTTAAGGGGGTATAAGGGAGTCGGATTGTCAAGCTTATATGAAGACCCTGGTTGGTATTGCATTTTGGCCACCTGGGGTCAAGGTCACCATTTCCAAAAATAGAAAATGGTTTCTGGTAGAAATGAGATATTGTAATGAAACATGGTGTATAGCAAGCTTATATGAAGATCCTGGTTGGTATTGCATTTGGACCCCTTGGGGTCAAGGTCACCGTTACTAAAAATAGAAAAATGCTTTTATGACAATAATTAGAGTTTGGAATGATGTTTTGTAATAAAAAAATGACCATTTGCTACCAATTATCAAGCGAAGTCATTTATAGTGTACAAATAAGATAATGAAAAAGGTCAAGGTCATCAGTTATATTGAAACAAGATATGTTTGAAAAACATGTATGCCCCCTATCAGCAGCAAAAAGTCATGTGATAAGGTTATTATGCATGACATCTGACCCAGTGATCAAACAATTAATAAGGGTTATCAAGTATCTACTGGTCATGACCTTAACCTTTGACCCCTTGACCCAAAACTCAATAGGGGTCATCTGCTGGTCATGACCAATCATCATACAAAGTTTGAAGTTCCTAGGCATAAGCGTTTTTAGTTAATTGATTGGAAACCGTTTTTACCTACAAGGTCAATGTGACCTTGACCTTTGACCCCTTGACCCCAAAATCAATAGGTCATCTGCTGGTCATGACCAATCACCATACCAAGTTTGAAGTTCCTAGGCCGAAGCGTTCTTTAGTTATTGATCAGAAACCGTTTTTACTTACAATGTCAATGTGACCTTGACCTTTGACCCCTTGATCCCAAAACTCAATAGGGGTAATCTGCTGGTCATGACCAATCACCATACCAAGTTTGAAGTTCCTAGGCCTAAGTGTTCTTAAGTTATTGATCAGAAACCGTTTTTACTTACAAGGTCAATGTGACCTTGACCTTTGACCCCTTGACCCAAAACTTAATAGGGGTCATCTGCTGGTCACGACCAATCATCATACAAATTTTGAAGATCCTAGACCTAAGCGTTTTTAGTTAATTGATCGGAAACCGTTTTTACCTACAAGGTCAATGTGACCTTGACCTTTGACCCCTTGACCCCAAAATCAATAGGTCATCTGCTGGTCATGACCAATCACCATACCAAGTTTGAAGTTCCTAGGCCTAAGGGTTCTTTTGTTATTGATCAGAAACCATTTTTACCTAAGAGGTCAATGTGACCTTGACCTTTGACCCCAAAATCAATAGGGGTCATCTACTGATCATGACCAATCACCATACCAAGTTTGAAGTTCCTAGGCCTTAAAGTTCTTTAGTTATTGATCGGAAACCGTTTTTACCTACAAGGTCAATGTGACCTTGACCTTTGACCCCTTAACCCTAAAATCAATAGGGGTCATCTACTGATCATGACCAATCACCATACCAAGTTTGAAGTTCCTAGGCCTAAGGGTTCTTTAGTTATTGATTGGAAACTGTTTTTATCTAAGAGGTCAATGTGACCTTGACCTTTGACCCCTTGACTCCAAAATCAATAGGGGTCATCAACTGATCATGACCAATCACCATAACATGTTTGGAGACCCTAGGCCTAAGGGTTCTTTAGTTATTGATCGGAAACCGTTTTTACCCAAGATTTCAATGTGACCTTGACCTTTGACCCCTTGACCCCAAAATCAATACGGTCATCTACTGATCATTACCAATCACCATACCAAGTTTGAAGTTCCTAGGCCTAAAGGTTCTTTAGTTATTGATCGGAAACCGTTTTTGCTTACAAGGTCAATGTGACCTTGACCTTTGACCCTTTGACCCTAAAATCAGTAGGGATCATCTACTGTTCATGACCAATCACCATACCAAGTTTGAAGTTCCTAGGCCTAAGGGTTCTTTAGTTATCATTGGAAACCATTTGGTCTACGGACAGACGGACCGACAAGTGCAAAGCAATATACCCCCTTTTCTTCGAAATGGGGGCATAATTAAGATTTCTGCTGTTACATAGTCTAGAACAAAGTAAACACATTCAGTTTCATTCATTTTCATGTCATATCTCAGTTACAGGAAATTGGGGTGATCGAAACATATTCAATACTAGATAGTTTAATAATATTTTATTGTATTAATATGCATACAATATACAATTTCATAATTTTACAGACATAATCAAGTGTACATACAAAAGGGTTGGGCCAAAAGTTTTAACAACATTATCGTGGGCCCTTCCCTGAGGTTAGTCAGAAATAAGTTTAAATATACTTTTTGAATAAAGTTGTGTGATATCAAATAATTATCAATTTCAGTTTTAAGTAATTTTCAGGATCTAATTTTCATGAACTAATTTTATCAAATGTTTTATATGTGAATATAAATAAATCAAATGAACTTTTATTAGAGAAAAAAATAATTATATAATTATATGAAAAAGTTAGAAATATAGATAAGCATTATAATAAAATTTATAATGATACAAAGAGTGATAAAATTAAGTTATTTAAATATTTTAAATGTATAAAGTGTAAGTTTCAAATGTCAAAAGTGATTACAAGAAAAAAATTACAAGACTAATTAACAAATGAAAGCAGGACAACTCCATTTATGAAATTAACCCATTACCAGATATATACGCCTTTCTACACCTTGTTCACCCCCCTTTTTTGTTGTCTCAAAATGTGAAAAAATGCCTTATTTTGGCCCCCTACCCTTGTTTTTGCTAGAGAAATGTTGTTTAAAAAAGTGACGACTTTTCAGGGGTCGCCCCCTATCCAACAGATACATCAAGGGGTTGCCAGAAGGGGGATGTGCCCCCTTCTGTTTGGGGGGGGGTTGAAGGGGGCAGCAGTCCTCGTCACCAAGAAAATTTTAGACTTGTGAGAGGGTAAAAATGACCCCATGTTGATCATAACAGGTAATGTCTGTAACCAACACTGAAAAGCCTTTATCTCTATCTTAATCCATTGAGAAGTTGCAGCACTTTGAAATCAATTTTGATGGAAAAAATCAACGCAAAATAGTGATTTTTGGCAATTTTGAGATGTCCCTCGTTGCCCTGGTAACAGGAAATTTAAGACTGAGCATGTTGTTACAAAGGCAATGTTCAAGTCAACATTTGTGCCATGTTTGATTTAAGTATTGGAGCAGTTTTTATAGTTTTTAGCAATTTTTTTAGCAATTTGAGCTTGTAACGGGAGACTTTTCAATGAAAACAGCCATTTTTCACGAAATGCTCATGCGGTAATGGGTTAAGAAGTTATATAAGAGTTAAAAAATAGTGAGACATCAACAGGCATGGCGACTGAAGTATAAGAAACTCAATTAAATGGCAGACACTTGATCACTTTGCTTAAACTCAAGCAAGTTGCTTGTAACCATTTACATTGTATATATCTCTAAATTAATGAATTAACAAGTCATCAGTGTCAACAAAATACATGTCATTGTCAATTATTTTTGTGTCCCATTACTGTTTGTAATTGTTGAAGTTTTTGTTTAAAACTCATATCTGATGCAGCAATACATGTTTTGTCAAAGATTTTTCTAAATGTCAGTAACAAACAATAAATTCGCCATATTTTTTCAGGTCTGTTTGCATATGGTCCAGATAAGAATGGTTTGATAAGCTTCAGTCCACGTGATCATATGACATACATGAATTACTTCAACAGACTTGAATCAAGTCTCGCAGGTTTGTAATTGTGTAGAACATGAGTTAAAATTAGAGTACAACAGTTAAATGAAAGTGATAATAATATTACTTAATTTATGAAAGATAGAACATTAAGAATTTGTAACACCTTATTTACAATGCGGCCTTCTTAATAAAATCATGTTAATTGAAGAAAAATATAACAAAGAAATAATTAAATGGTAATGACAGTGTTAACATGTAACTTTAAAGCACACAAATACTATTTTGTAAGTAACAAGCCAATAAGATTCAAATAATGTCATAGCAGGTACAGAATACCATGAAAATTTGCATAAATTATATCCAAGTGCATTTCTTTTGGAATTGACTTATGACAGGCTTTCAATTTGCTATATATTTGCCTGCTTTTTGTATAATTATGCTCTGCCAGTGGAAAATTCCCAAATGTTGCCTCTTCAATAAAAAAATCTAAAAACTTCTAAACATACTCGTTTTGACTTTGGTTACAATTGCATGCCATATTTAAGCACCTTAAACAATTTAAGAGGAAGCATCATTATTATGTTGACATTATTAATAACATATTAGCATTTTCTAGTCACTTTCCCTTTTCACTTTCCCTCGGGTTGGGCACATAGCTGACAAGACACAGGGCATCGGCAGAAGATTTGAATACTTGGGATGGCGAAAAAAAAATGACTAGAACTTGAACTTCAGACCAGCTGCCAGTGTCCTGACTAATGCCAAGGGGAGTGGCCCTGCAAAGTAGGAAGAGTCAACGAGGATGGTGACCTAGGGGGCATAAGCCGCATAAGCCCCTAGTTTGAATGACAACTTGAAAGGCAGGCCCTCTGCTTGGCACCAACAGCCTTTTTAAACTTTACCTTTTTTTCTCATATTGTCTCAGGTGGGGTCATCTCCAGTATGTGCGTCCTTTTCCCTTGCTTCGATGAACACAGTTTTAAGTTGATTGTTTTGTTATGAACTTGTCATCAATAGGACTTTAATTTGTAATACAAGTTGCTGACTTTATATACAGAATATAGTTTTCTAACATGAATATAATCCATGGCTGGCAATTCGGGTTATATTTATCTCATTTAGGCTATATTCTCCTGTATATCCTGTCAACTTGTATAACTAAAATTATAGTTGTACATGAACCCAACAGACAGAAAGACTGTATTACATCCAAATGTGATCCAGAGTGACATAACAAATTTTATTAATGTATTGTTCAAACACAAAGAAGTGTATTTTATAAGGAAAATATCATTACAAGATTTTACTAGAATTATATCTCACTTTGCACTTCTATGCCTCATAAGATCTTGAAAAAGCAAAATCTACACAAGTTAAGTACATTATCCAGATCAAGATTCAGTCCTACAATAACTCATTATAATAATGTCATTAATTAATTATCAATATAATTTAACAGATTACAGCACCCTGAGACAATCAGCAAACCTTGACAGGTACATACACTGTGATGATAATACTACTAAAGTACCACACGGTAAAGTTTGCATGCTGACCCTGGACAAATTTGGAGATAATTGCGCCAGTTTTGACATGTATGGTATCAATGAAGGGCGACCATGTGTCCTGCTGGTTTTGAGACCTGTAAGTTTACATAATGTCTTAATTTGATACTGAATTATTTTTTTTTCTCCTTCACTAATAAATCTTTAAAGTCATAGAACTTGAATAGTGGCATTTTGGCTTAAACTCTGCCCTTTTCTTCTCAAAAGAAAAAAAATCTTGCCAATATAAATTTAAATTTTACAATACCTTTGCTGGACACTTTTTTGTTTTGTTTTGGCAATATATTAATAACTTTTTCCTTTTCCATCTTTGTTCTTCAAAATATTTATAACCACGCACTTACATTAGTATTTTAAGCTAAATATTTATTGCGAGTCTCAAGCTCATTAGGCCATGTTACACAACTGCATTTAATTGCATTTTGTTATAGTTATGTCTCCTTTAGATTTATATTTATACAAATGGGTTTATTTAGAATGGATTAAATACATTTTTTAAAGAACATTTAGAAAATTAAAGACCATTAAAGTCTCATTATCTTAAATGTCAGAATATGACTTCCAAGTTCAAAATTTTGAAGTTCACTAAAGTACACATGTTAACAGATTAAGGAGGAGAGAGAGAATTTATAAAGAAAATTTCTATATTAAGAAAGTTTTTCAACATAATTTACAGGATGATAACATGACACCACAGCCATTTGACTTCAGTGATGGTAAGAATGTTGACATAAAGAAGAAGATTGGGAATAGGTTCTCCAGTAAGAGTGTAGCTGTGAGTTGTGAGGGGAAGGTTAGTTTATCAATCAATGTCAATCTGCTTAATAGAAAAAAGAAACCTTACTTATAGACAATGTATGTGTATAACAAGAAATCTCATTATCAGTTAAAAAAGTAGAATAAACATAACATGTAAACCAGTTTAAGCAGAAAAATGACTGATTATACCCCCACAAATGAAGTTTAAGGGGTATCTTGGAGTCAGTTTGTCTGTCAGTCAGTCCACATCATGATCTCGGGTTTGTCTGTCAGTCAGTCCACATCATGGTCTCGGGTTTGTCTGTCAGTCAGTCCACATCATGGTCTCGGGTTTGTCTGTCAGTCAGTCCACATCATGGTCTCGGACAAAAACTAGTGTTTAGATTGAGGTATTGTAGTGAAACATGGTATATTGCATTTACCTTATGTGGAAACCCGGGTTGGTATTGCATTTGAACCCCCTGGGATATAGATCACTAATACTGAAAATAGAAAAATGTTTTCCGGACAATAACTTGAGTTAGAAATGAGATATTGTAATCAAACATGGTGTATAACAAGCTTATATGAAGAGCCTGGTTGGTATTGCATTTGAACCCCTTGGGGTCAAGGTCACTGTTACTAAAAAAGAAAAATGTTTTCCAGACAATAACTAGAGTTAGAAAAGAGATATTGTAATCAAACATGGTATATAACAAGCTTATATGAAGAGCCTGGTTGGTATTGCATTTGGACCCCCTGTGGTCAAGGTCACTGTTACTAAAAACAGACAAATTTTTAGTTAGGAATAAGATTTTGTAATCAAACTTGCTGTAATTATAGCAACCTTATGTGAAAACCCTGGTTGGTATTGCATTTGGACCTTCTGGGGTCAAAATCAAGGTCACCATTACTAAAAATAGAAATAGGGTTTCCAGACAATAACTAGAGTTAGGAATAAGGTTTTAAAATCAGACTCGCTATATAGCAACCTTATGTGGAAACACTGGTTGGTATTGCATTTCGACCACCTGGGTTCATTGTCAAGCTAACTAGAGTTAGGAATGAGACATTTTAATCAAAATTTGTTTATAGCAAGTTCAAATGAAGATCCTGGTTGGGATTGAATTAATTGAAATAATTCTTTGTATGTAGGGGATACTTCATTTATTATAGGTTGAGTTTAAATTTTTCTTTAGGCCACTTATTTTTCAAAAAGTCAAAGTTGCTGGTAGGAGTATTAATCACCTTTAGTGATAGCTCTAGATTTGTTCTTATTTTCATGTAGCTTACTTCTGTTAGAGTCAATGTAAAAACTTTCAAGAACAGATAAATAAGTGTATTGGCTAGGAATGTTTCGTATCAAAGTTGCAGTTGTTTTCTCCTATTTCTACAGACTGACAAAGATCAAGCTCTAATGATGAGAGATAATTACACAGCTATGGTTGATTATAATCCTCCAAAAGGTTTTCCCTTGTTTTACTTCCTGGAGAGAAAGACAGATGGCTACTTGTACCCGGCTGTGATGGTTCAGTTCAACACAGTCCCACCAAACACTCGGGTTAACATTGTTTGTACAGCGTGGGCAAAAAATTTCAACAACGGTCAGCCGCAGAGCGGTCAGAAATACTCCACTGAGTTTGCTATCCTCTTGAAATAATAATGCAATACACAACCCACTATGATATATTGACTCCTTTCCGGCCAGAAGACCAATAAATAGGTATTTTTAAAAATGCTGATAAGCCTCTCTGGCTGTGATGTAATTTTTGCTCATTAGGATTTCCTCATTCCATATATCCCAGATACTTAACACTTGTTAGATTTGTACTTAGGTATGTGAAAATTGATTCTAATTAAATTCGTCAACAATCCATTTATATTTTTACATTCTATATACATTTTATAATTTTTTGTTCATATTCTGAAAAAATTTCAAAAGTTTGTTACTTTCATGAAGAAAAGGTTGTTGAAATTTTAATGATTTAAAAAGAAAAATACATATCTTTGTTACATTATTTGTTGTGAATTTTTAGCTTGATTATTCGGATAATTGTAGGGCTATCCTACAAACACATGCTTTAAACGTAACACTTTGGTCAAGTTTTATATGCCACTTATTGTACTGCATCATATCACATCAACCATTTTTGCTTTTCACTTATTTTAGATCATTATAATAGGTCACTATCAAAGTTCCATAAGTCTGACATGGTTTTTGACTGAATTATTAAAACTTGTGCAACATCAATCTTCAAAACTACTGATGGCATTCACTTAAAACTTTTTTATGCATGTTTTTATGACTGTAACTGGATGTCACTTTCAAAAGGCCCTTTACTTTGACATACATGTAGATTTTGACTGAATTATGGCCTTTTGTGAACTTGAAAATTCTTGATAAAAGTAAAGAAATTAATTTGAATCTTTAATTATGTCTTTGCGACCATATCTGGCAACCATTTTCCAAGGCTGATACCTCTGACATGCATATTTGTTAATTTATGAAGTTTGAAAATTCTTAAACTGTTCAAAACTACTAAAGATATTCATATGAAACTGAATTAATACATGTCTTTAGGACCATTATGGGAGTCCCTATACAAAGCCCATAACAGTTGTTACATGGATTTTGATTGATAGATGGCCCTTTATCAAATTACAAAACTACAAGACTCATAATCATGACATTTATATTTTTATTGAAATCCTCCTCTAAAAATGTTGATTATTACATCACACTGAAGATCAAATGAGCCGCATCACGACAAAACCAACATAGTGCGTTTCGATGGCTGAACGCAACACTGGTCTAACTTCATTTTTACAAATTTTCAAGGAGGCTATAAAAACTTAATTAATTCTATAAATTGGACATTTTTGATATTATTTTTAGATTTTTATGTCCATATAAGTTAAAATTTTAGTTAAAAGAAGTTTGAAAAATTAATTTTGTTAAATAAAAAAGATATTTGAAAAGATATGAGTTAGATTAGTTTTCCATTTATAAATCACCAAATTTCAATGATAAATTTTCAGCAAAACTGGTCTAACTTGACTTAGCCCTATGTTGCATTTACAAAATGAGTTTAATAAGGCCAAAACAATAATCAATATGTGCTATGTTTGAAAAAATAGGATGATATAATAGAAAAAAGCTGTAACTTTAACCGTATTTTAGTATTATTTTAAAAGAAAACAACTTTTTTAAGGAAACCGACATGTTAATTTATACAAAATTGACAACTTTTGCATAACATACTAGAAATATCAGACAATCACATAAAAATATTTTAGAAAAAAAAATTAATAATAAAGTTTCAGTTCGGAATGAATGTTTTGTAGACAAGATAAGATATTTTACATTAAGCATAATTCAATGTAACATCAGAATTGAAGCACATACTCATAACTGAAAAATAGAAGCATGTATATAAAACTTGCAGTTCTAAAAACACAGGCAATATTATTCAAAATGAAACTAATTTTTTCCCTATTGGATCTTCGTTTATATTTTCAAGTTTATTAATCTAGTCAGAATTTCAAGAAAAATGTTAACTTTAGGAACATTTTGCATAAACTAAAGTTATCTCTCCAAGTTGCCAAAGAAAAAACTTTTGCCTCTCTTTGTAATTAAACTTGGCATGACACTTGTATCTATAGCTTTGTCTTCCCTCCTTTCTCATCATCCTTTTTACTCAATTTTTTGTCATATTTTTAAACATAATTTTTTCCCATATTCCTATTACAGTAATTCATTACATTTCTCTGTTATCTATCATCATTCTTGCATTTTTATCTAATATTTTCCCCATTTAATAACTATTTTCTATATTATGTAAACTATCATTTTAACCATTCCCTATTTGCAAGTACTCATCATCAGCATAATAATAACAAACACCCTAATTTCACCTTCAAAATGATTAACAGCATTTTTATCACCATCATCATCCTCGGCTCTTATATAAACAGCATTGTCTCCGGTAGCCCTTATTAACCAACATTACTATTCTGAACACTCATCTCACCACCACTACTAGTATTTTCCTCACCACCTATATATGCAGCATTGCCACCAAATTAGACCTCATTACATCAGTATTGTCATCAATCACACTTTTATCATCAGCATTGTCATCCTCAGCATAGTCCCCTTTAACTGTAATTATATCACCAATATTGTCCCCACTACTCTTTTGATACCAACATTGTCCTCACTATTAACTATAGTATCACCAGTAAATGTTCCCACTAACCCTTATAAAACCAGCATTGCCCCAACTAACTATAATCAAAGTATTGTCCCCTCTAATCTTTATAATACCAGCATTGTCCCAACTAACTATAATATCACTGGTCAGCAATGTTCCCACTAGTTATAATATTACCAGAATTGTCCCACCTAACTATAATATCATCAGCATTGTCCCAACTAACCCTCATATCATCAGCATTGTCCCAACTCACCCTCATATCACCAGCAAATTTACTTTGATATCACCAGCATTGTCCCCATTTACTATTATATCACCAGCATTGTCCCAATTTACTATGATATCACCAGCATTGTCCCAACTAACCCTCATATCACCAGCATTGTCCCTACTAACCCTCATATCACCAGCATTGTCCCTACTAAACCTCATATCACCAGCATTGTCCCCATTTACTATCATATCACCAGCATAATGTCCCCAATTACTATGATATCACCAGCATTGTCCCCATTTCCTATGATATCACCAGCATTGTCCCAATTTACTATGATATCACCAGCATTGTCCCAATTTACTATGATATCACCAGCATTGTCCCAACTAACCCTCATATCACCAGCATTGTCCCTACTAACCCTCATATCACCAGCATTGTCCCTACTAACCCTAATATCACCAGCATTGTCCCTACTAAACCTCATATCACCAGCATTGTCCATACTAACCCTCATATCACCAGCATTGTCCCCATTTACTATCATATCACCAGCATTACCCCATCTATGATTTCACAAGCATTTTCTCCACTATTACCCTCTTTATCAGCATTGGCCCCACTAAATATAATATATCACCAGCATTGTCCTCACTTTTTTCTTAAACATTTCTTTTCTTTTCTTGTTGGGTTTTATGTCGCACTTACAAAGTAGAGGTCATATGGCAATACTCCAAGTTTTCCCAGCGGAGGAAGACCTCAAGTACCCAATTTCTGCTGCTTCATGTTTGTAACCCTTAGGAAAAGGAAAGGCATTTAACTTGCAGTTATTTAGCATTGTTTTTCTGACCAGTTTTAACCATTTATTAAGCAGTTTTCCTTGACAAATGTGATTATGTAGAAAGCATTTAAAATGCAGTTAAAATGCATTTAAAATGCAGTTATTTAGCATTGAAAAAGCATTGAAATCAGCCGAAATATGTAAATGAGATGACATCATAAAACTGCCTCCAAATATGGAGATAGCATTTCCAACCATTTATATGACCTCATAAATAACTGCCAAAAAATTGTGTTTGCATTTTCAACCATTTATATGACATCATTAAAAAACTTTCAAAAAACTACTGAAGCCTTTATATGACCTCATAAATAACTGCAAAAAAACTTTCAAAAAACTGTTGCTTTTTTTTTTGACTAATATAATACTGTTAAAAAACTTTTCCCACATCTAAAAATTTAATTGTACATGTACAGGTTTCTATTACAGGGACAAAATATGTTGTACATAGTTTTCAAAAATCACCAAACCCCCAAAATTTTTCATAATAAAAAAGCTTTCCCCCCTTTTAGTTCTTTAGGCAACCATTTTGATTACTGTGTGGATTTTAAAAGTTTTGGACATTTTTTAATGTATTTAAAAATTAAAAAAGGGGCAAAAGACGAACAACAGACATATTGAACTGTAAAAAAACCCTCACAATAACCCCTCGGGAAATTTTTTGAATTTTTAATTAAAGGCCTATATCGTTTGTAATGAGCAAAAATTTAAGTAAAAAAATTTTACCCAAAATGCCTTTTTTATACAAAAACAAAAAAAGAAATCAATTTTTCTTTTCAAAATGGTAAAAATTTTGAAAAACACCACATAATTTTTGTAAGGGCCTAAAAGCCCGTTAAAACCAAATAGTGCTTACTTTTTTAAAACATTAAAAGATTGATAACCCCCTTGCAAAAAATTACTGGTAATTTTCCCGGGTTTTTAGGGGAAACCCCGGGAAATTTTTACGGGGAAAATTCCTGGGAAATTTGAAAGGGAAAATCTGAGGAATTTTCCCCGTTATTTGGCTGGCGGAAATTTGGAAACGACTGAAAACTACGGGTAATAACTAAAAAAAAAATTTAAAACCGGGAAATCCCTTAGATCGACTTGTATTTGGAAAAACCCCCTAAAATGAAAATTTGCCCTCCCCCAGGGGGTTTTTTGGGAACTTTTTTTCAAGTAAATTTCCCCGGGTTTTCAAAGCCCCTATGAAAAACCAGTCCCCGGGAATTTTTTAAAAATCTTAGAATGACTGAAAAATGACCTGCCCACGGTATTTGGAACATTTTTTCTAGTAATTCCTTGGCAGAATTCTTAAGAAATACATGGGGCTTTAAAGTCTAGCTTAAACAAAACAAAAAAAACAAGATATACAAGAACTGTTAAAAGTGGACATAAGTGATTCATGCATATGTCAGCTATAAAGAATCGTTTTAAGTGTACATAATGAGAAAATGAGGGGACATAATTATTTTTGAACAATTGCCATAAATAAGATATCTATTCTCAATCTGATCCTCCAAATATCAAGAAATTTTATATTAATACATGCTGATGTCTAATGCTGACTAGCATTTAACTATAGAGCAACAGATAAAATTTTAGAGCTAGTGTCTTTACTCCCTATTGTTTTTTTGGAAAGAGTGAGTCACTCTCAAGACACAAAAAAAAAATAATTTTGTTTTACATAATAATAATAATATGTAAGGACTTCATAATGTCTTTTCATACCATTTAACTTGTCTGTCAAACATGCTTTCTTTCATTTACAGTGAAAGTTCCTATTTTTCGCGGGTACTAAAACAGCTAACAGTAATTTTGAAAATCAAAGTTATATACTATTGTATAGTATTTTGCAAAGCTTCCTTTTGAAAGAAAATTGAAGAAAAGAATGCTGTAGAAATTTTGTTTTGGTTTGAAATTACGTTACCCGCAAGCAGTATAATTTTATAAAATACAACAGCTAGTGTCTGAGTTTCAACTCTGTCGCAGGCATTGTAAACTACAACCTTCACATTGTACAGACAAACTATCTGGCTCATGAGTTTTAAAAAAAAAAAAAAGAGAAGACGACAGGGTTTGTTTCATGTGATTTCTTTTGCTGCCTCAGGACGGCATGACTCAGTTTGAAAGTAAATTTACACCCCACACCGGTGAGTTGTACACATACAAATATTGCTATGATGCACTACAAGGTATTAAGTGAATATTAGTGTGCATGAATTATATTTTCCTAAAGGCATTTAAATAAAACTTGTAAAAACTGCAGCTTCTGTCACAATCTTTTAGCTTAAAAAAATGGTTCAAGAAAATAACTTGTAAAAAATGGTAATGTAAGTATTGTTTAACATCACCATTTATTTTTAAATGTTGAAAAACTGGTAAGAAATGCTAGACACAAGTTTTTTAACAACAAGTTTTTACCAGTTTTTTAAGAACTGCTGTTTAAATGGAATCCTACAAATTAAGATGAAGGGCAAAAAATTGTAAAAAAGGCATTTATTTGAAAAAACTGCTAAATAACTG